CTCTCTCTCTCTCTCTCTCTCTCTCTCTCTCTCTCAGAAGTTAAAAAGAAAAGAAGTGAATACAGTTCTTCAAATGCAAAGAGGGTGGCTAGTCCCTTAATATGTGGCAATACCTCATCCATCTTTGTCCCCTAGGACCATCCTGAACAAGGTGTGCTGTTCCTTGTGCGAGGCTTGCTCAACGTTATCCAGGATTACACTTGGGAAGATAACAGCGATGACAAAGTCAAAATTTACACCAATGTGGTGCATCTTCTCTCTGCCATGGGTCAGGAGACCTACATCTATCACATAGACAAAGGTGAGAAAGAAGGCAAGGGAGGGAGATGGTAGCAGAAGGTTCCTCAGTTATTAGGTTTACTTCAGCTTTTTATTTCATTTTAGATAGGGTTAGCCTTCTAAATTCTTATTTGCTAGCCTTATTCCAGTTTTTAGTTTTATGTCATATATGGTTAGCCATCTAATTTATCAGGTTTATTCCAGATTTTAGTGTATTTTATTTATGGTTAGCCTTCTCAATCCTTACCAGGTTTATTTCAGCTTATTTTATTTTTCATACGGTTAGCCTCCTGCATTCTTACTGACCTCCTTTTCCATATTTAATCTTTTTCCCCAGTTGACTCTAATGACACCTTGTATGGGGGAGACACTAAATTTTTGGCAGAAACGAACAGGTTGTGTGAAACAGTGATAAGCCAAATCTTGGAGCATTTGAAGAATCTTGGAAAAGATGAGGTGAGAAGGAGCTTCACACCAGCAGTGAAATGAAGTGTTGGGCGCTTCATACTGGCCAAACAAGAGAGTAGCATCTTTAACTGTGATTGTGTTGAACCTCTTTAAAACTAGGGGTGTAATCGTTGTGAATGAAACACCAATCTTCCCTGCCGTGATAGCCTTGGTGGGCAGCTGTATAAAAAGCAATTTGCAATTTTGCATACAGATATTCCTCCACTTACGAGCACACTTGAGCCCAGAATTTCCACTGCTAAGCAAGGCACGCCTGATTTTACAACTCCTGCCATGGTTGTTGAGTGAATCACTATGTTTGTTAAGTGAATCATATCATTAAGCATATGATTAGGGTTCCCCTATTGAGGTTAACTTGTCGGAAGCCGGCTGGAAACATTGCAAACAACGGCCGTATGACCCCGGGATGCTGCAACTGTTATAAATACACACAGGTTGCAGAAGGGCCTGCATTTTGATCACGTGGCTGGGGATGCTGCAACGGTCCTAAGTGTCATTTGTCACTCTTTTCAGTGCCGTTGGAACTTTGCTCAATAAATGAACGTTTGTAAGTCAAGGATTACCCGTATTGCCTAGCTGTTCCCCCAACCAATCCTTTTCTTCTTATCATCGGCAGACTCTAAAGCGCCAAAGTCACCTGGCCCTCTGCTTCTTCAGTAGCCTCTTGGCTCACGCCGATCTGCAGAACAACAAACTCAACCAGCTGGCCGTCAACCTGTGGAACCTGGCTCAGAAACATGGCTTTGCGGACACCAAAACCACAGTAAGGAGAGACCTAAGGCCCTGGGGGACCCTGATGAGGAAGGAGCCGTGGTGGCGCAGTGTTAGAATGCAGAATTGCAGGCTGACTCTGCTCACTGCCAGGTGTTCGATCTTCACTGGCTCAAGGTTGACTCAGCCTTCCCTCCTTCCGAGGTCGGTAAAATGAGGATCCAGATTGTTGGGGGCAATAGATTGACTCTGTAAACCGCTTAGAGAGGGCTATAAAGCACTGTGAAGCAATATATAAGTCTAAGTGCTATTGCTATATTGACTCAGCCTTCCGTCCTTCCGATGTCAGTAAAATGAGGATCCAGATTGTTGGCGGCAAGATGCTGACTCTGTAAACCGCTTAGAGAGGGCTGTAAAGCACAATGAAGCGGTATATAAGTCTAAGTACTATTGCTATCTAAGCCGTGGTGGTGCAGTGGTTAGAATGCAGTATTGAAGGCTAACTCTGCTCACTGCCAGGTGTTCGATCCTGACTGGCTCTAGGTTGACTCAGCCTTCCATCCTTCCGAGGTCGGTAAAATGAGGACCCAGATTCTTGGAAGCAAGAGGCTGATATTTGTAAACCGCTCAGGGAATGCTGTAAAGCACTACGGAGCGGTATATAAGTCTAAGTGCTGTTGCTATTTGCAACCTCTTTTTAGTTCATAAAACAAGCCCTTGACTTGACACAACGAGCTTTCCCCTCTGTGTAGCCTTTCACTTCACCCAGTTGTCAAGTTTTGTTGTTGAAAAAAAGAAATCTGGATCATAATTTTATGCCTGAATCACTGGACCTTAAAAACAGCCTTTAGGCTGAGGCAAGAGATGCATAGCAATTCAACTTTCACAGTTTTTCCTCCCTTTTTCCCTTTCTAGGTCAAAACCTTGGAATACATCAAGCTGCAGAGTAAACACCCTGAACTCAGCCACTTCACAGAGCTGGCACTACGGCTCCCTTTGCAATCAAGAACTTAATGGATGTCAATCCCTGCAATTACATCCCTGAAAAGGTAGTTTTCAAGGCCCTTTAAACAGCCCAGGCTGCCTTGTAGGGTGTTATCAGCATTTGTTATCTTTTTGCTTCAAAAGGTCTCTTGGTGCACGATAGATTTACTTGGTTGGAGAACAAAAGGTAAATTTTCCTGGTGATGCAGTCATTTATTTTTTTTTAAAATGAGGTTTTGTTCCCCACTACACAGCTGTTAACCATTAAAACGTTGACTTTAATGTTAATGTTGGGTCAGTGAAATATTATCTTAATCGTTGTGGAGTGGAAAAAATAACTTTTAAATCCAAATTTGGCGGACTTGCAAAGGAAAGAAAGATGATGATTTGGGTTGGCAAGACCAAGGAGAAAGGCAGTACTTACTGGCTTTAGGAAAGGGATAAGCTAGAATTATTTCATGTCTTTAAAGCGTGTGCTTTGAAACCACCTATTCAAGAAAGCTCAATTGAGAAAAAAAGTTAACATTTGGGAAAGGCCCTGCAAAGTATATCTATTCCAAACATTCTGTCTTAATTTAATGAAAAGAAGGACAAGGGGAGACATGATAGCAGTGTTCCAATATCTCAGGGGTTGCCCCAAAGAAGAGGGAGTCAAGCTATTCTCCAAAGCCCCTGAAGGCAGGACAAGAAACAACGGGTGGAAACTAATCAAGGAGAGAAGCAGCCTAGAACTAAGGAGAAACTTCCTGACAGAACAATTAACCAGTGGAACAACCTGCCTCCAGAAGTTGTGGATGTTCCAACACTGGAGGTTTTAAAGAAGAGACTGGACAGCCATTTTTCTGAAATGTTACAGGGTTTCCTGCCTGAGCGGGGGATTGGACTAGATGATCTCCAAGGTCCCTTCCAACTCTGTTATTCTGTTAAGTAGTGGAAATTATTGTTTGCAGCACAGATCAGTTAATTCACAACACATTTCTTTTAAAATGCATTTTTAAAAATCAATGGATAGGAGGCATTTATATTCAGCATTAATCTTTCTGAGCAGTTCTTAACTGGTTTTTTTTTTTTTTAAATCATGATGCCTGGTTATTATGATGCAGTCTTCATCTGCTTTTTAATTTATAATTGCCGGGGAGTGAGTGAAGAGGTTTTTGCCTTTAAATTGCTGGATGATGCAATCCTTTGAGAACGGAGGAGCAGCATTTTAGAACAGAGAAAAATGTGCAGATTGGTTCAATGCCTCCATACAAAGCAAAAATAAATTCCAAACTGCAGAAGTTGGCCTTCAAAATAAGCCATTAATCTCAGTTTTAACCTTGATTTTGTATAAATGTTAAGGCTGGATTTGAGGAAGGGTCCAAAGGGAAAAGGAGATGTCATACCAAGTGAAGGGAGGGGTGTGTGACACAGAGGAGAATAAACGAGGCCACGAGAGTAAAGGATGTGGGACTCTTAGTGCTCTCACAGCTTGGTTGGTTGCTTACAGATGTTTCATTACCAATCTGTTGAGACTCTAGAAAGAGTGCAGAGAAGAGCAACAAAGATGATTAGGGGACTGGAGGCTAAAACATACAAGGAACGGTTGCTGGAATTGGGTAGGTCTAGTAGTTTAATGAAGAGAAGGATGAGGGGGGACAGGATAGCAGGCTTCCAGTATCTCAGGGGATGCCACAAAGAAGAGGGAGTCAAGCTGTTCTCCAAAGCACCTGAAGGCAGGACAAGAAGCAATGGATGGAAACTAATCAAGGAGACAAGCAACCTGGAACTAAGGAGAAACTTCCTGACAGTTAGAACAATTAACCAGTGGAACAACCTGCCTCCAGAAGTGGTGAATGTTCCAACACTGGAAGTTTTTAAGAAGAGACTGGACAGCCATTTGTCTGAAATGGTATAGGGTTTCCTGCCTGAACAGGGGCTTGGACTAGATGACCTCCAAGGTCCCTTCCAACTTTATTATTATTATAACTAGATAACATCATGAATGCCAGAAGGGAGTGGGGTTTGCCCTCTGTTTATATACAGGTGGCTTACCCTGTCAGTGTTTGTGGGTTTCTTCTTGGCTGTTTACCATTTGATTGTCTGCATTGGAAGTTTCTTGACTGGGTATTCATTACTCAAACCACTTCTGTATAAAGAGAGAGCAAACCCCACTCCTTTCTAGCACTGATGATGTTACCTAGTTGGGTCATGAAACGTCTGCAAGAAAACAACCAAGCTCAGAGAGCACCAAGGACCCCAGTCTTCCTCCTCCTCCTCCTCCCTTCTAGCATTGATGATGTTACCCAGTTGGGTCATGAAACGTCTGCAAGAAAACCACCCAGCTCAGAGAGCATAAAGGACCACACGCTACAAATAGGTCCTGGTATCTCCTGGACTAGCTGCAACTGCTGGATGGTCTTCAAAGGCGGCCCCATGCAGAAATGCATCTTGGCCAAGCATAAAGATGATAATCTCCCTTGTTAGGTACAAGGACATTTACTCTGAGATACCACTGGAGAAAGATGAATTGTAGAAAAAACTTTTTTAATAAAATTGATGTAGCTTTCAAATAACAAGATGGCTTTTTTTCCCTGGACACACAGTCACTGACAGAAGAGCACAACACCAAGGCCAGGACCGTAAATTTACACAAGTCATTTACCTAAGTCTTGAACAGACAAATGTCACATTCGGTCTACAAGATTCAGAGGCACGATATGGGAACTCGCAGCAAAAATTGGGACTGGAAGCCAACCACAGGTTGCCTGCCTCTGAGCTAAAATATGTTCTATTCTTACCTGCCAGTTACGCTGTTAAACGACTGTAGCTCAGTTGCCCATCCTGAATGAATCCATTGTGGCCCCTTAAACCTGCCAAGCAGCAATTCAATACAAATATATATCTGCATATATGCACCCTAGCCACAAGTAGTCATCACAAGTATTTGCACAGGCTGTTTCTCATCCGTTTGAAAAGAGCACCTCAGTTAAAAGTCCAGAGTCCTTTTCTTTGTTGTAGATTAAAAAAAATAATCAGCCTGTTTGGGCAATTTATCCTTCCCTTCCTGACATGTCAAGTCTTCGAATTTAATGGATTTGGAGGCGTATTTGTCTATGTGTAAACCGCTTGGAGCACCGGACCGGAAGCCTAAGCCGATTCCTCGATGGTGCTTAAACTCCACAGCTTTCTTGAATTCTGCTTCTAGGTTTTGTTGCAGTACTTGCTCTCTGGGCCGGTCCAGAGCCATATTTGATTGGTTAGCGTTTGCTGGAGAACGCTGAGCTGGGGCTAAGCCTTTTTTCAACCCTCCCAGCAGTCTGTGAAATTTCGTCTTTTGTTCCGGAGCTTCAAATGCCGCCGTGCTCCACTGGCCCAAACGATTGTCCTGAAGAACAAGGGAGAAAAATTAGCAGGCTCAATTCTCTTTAAAAGTAAGAAGCTGTAGACCAGGGGTCTTCAAACTTGGCCCTTTGATGACTTGTGGACTTCAACTCCCAGAATTCCTCGTGCCTGGCTGAGGAATTCTGGGAGTTGAAGTCCACAAGTCATCAAAGGGCCAAGTTTGAAGAGCCCTGACCTAACTGAACAAGAGAGCTCCATAGAATAAGCTCCTGAATCGGATCTGGCAAACATCTGTGACAGGGGTCTTCAAACTTGGCCCTTTGATGACTTGTGGACTTTCAACTCCCAGAATTCCTCAGCCAGGCAGCTGAGGACTATCTGGTCAATCGTGAAAAGAAGAAAAAAAATTCCCAGTGACAGCTAGGCCCAAAAACTCCTGCTATTTTTGTTCCATAATAAATAGGAAGAGTCCTTTTTGCACAAAGACACGACTGCTAATTCTCTCAAAGGAAATAGAGGGAGGGCGGAAGGAAAATGCCCCTTTTCAGGATCAAAGGGGAGAATTACCATTTGTCCAAAATCAGACACTACTGATCCGCTTCCAGAATCTCTAAGGGTTGGGCTAATTGGCCCTGTGACACGACCTCAGGTTCCCAATCGGAGCAGAAATGGGTGGATCAAGTCAAGGAAGTGACTAGTGTGTGTTAAGCTTTTCAGCATTGCTAAATAGCTCAGCTGAAACTGACCAAACACAAAAGGTGGGGGGGGGATGCGCTCACCAATTCTTCCTTGGCAGTTTTGGTTTTGCCAGATTCCCGGTCGATCTCTTCTTGAAGCGCTTGCCGTCTCACCTGGAGCGAGAAAGAATGGATTTGATTTCGGTGCCCCAGTGGGAAAACGTCAGCAAACTTGGAAAGAGGCGTGACAACCAGGTTACTTTAGGGCAGGGGTAGGCAACCTTGGCTCTTTTATGACTGGTGGACTTCAACTCCCAGAATTCCTGAGCCAGCCTGGCTCAGCTTGGAAACCTCTCCCTTTCCCCTCAGCATGGCTGGCTCAGGAATTCTGGGCGTTGAAGTCCACGAGTCATAAAAGAGCCGAGGTTGCCTACCCTTGCTTTAGGGACAATGTTTCTCAACCTTGACCACTGGAAGAGGTGTGGATTTGCCCAGCCAGCTTTGCTTTGCTGGCTAGGGAATTCTGGGAGTTGGAAGTCCATCACCTCTTCAAGTGGCCAAGACGGAGAAACACAGCTTTAAGGAATATTTCTTTTTGATCCAAAATAAAGAGCCTAGTTCATGCAATACAAGCAGACCGTACGCTGATATTATTTGAAGGGTCTCTGTGAAGGCAAAGCTAAGAAAAGCTGCATTGGCGTAAGCGGCTACCCTTTGAGGTTTAAGAACGGCACTTAGGGAAACAAAACCAAACAAACCACACAATCTCTTCACAGAGGTCCTCAAATTCTCTGGTGCCCTGTTGTTTTCCCCCCCCCTTCCCCCTCCCAGTGCCTGCAATCACAGACCAAACAGAATTTTCTCCGTAAAGAGGTTAGTGCAGATTGAGTGTACAGTACGTACAAGTGTATGCTGATTATTCTAATGAATCTAGCTGATTCTAAATAGGTGAGAAGGGAAGGGAAGAGGTGGAGGAGGAAAATGGGAAAAGAAAGAGGAAAGGAAAAGGGGCTGAATTTTTTACTGTTTTTTTTTCTTGAAACTTGTGGACATCCACACTGCACCACATGCAGCATTATCCAAAATCCCCTTCCATACAAAAAAACCCAATATAGCTGAAGCACTGGACATCCCAAGAGGTCAGACAAGGAGGTGATGGACACCCTGTCTCTCCTCTTGGTTATCAAAACCAGCCCTCCTCTGACAAGGTCCCAACACAGCCATAAGATGAGAAATGATTGTACCTTGTCTATCTTCACTTCATCACAGTTTCCTTGTCTGAATGCCACCAGCTTCACTTCGTCTTCCGCCTCCTGTTTCTTTTTTTTTTAAAAAAAGAGATAATACTGTTGAAACCCCTTCAGGATTGGGTATAGCAGGGTAAAAAAACCTTGTTGTAATTCTCCCCAATCTGATGTCACGCTACATTTCCCGTGCACCCTACCAAACGGGATCCAAATCCTGACTGAGCTGTTCCACTCTTTAGCAGCCCTTGAATTCCAAACATTTTGGAAGCCTAAATAAGATTGTCATGCCCAGAGGATATATTTGACAGCCAATTCTTCCTCTTTCTATTAAACTGCTTGGGGTACAGGAGATTTGCGAAGCCACAAAAGGCCAAGAGATAATCCTACCCATCACAACAGGCTTTCTTGGACAGGGCAGATAAAAATAAAAATTGACCGAAGCTTTTCAGCGTTCTAAATGAAAAGGTTGCTAGCGTACATTTCTGGAGGCATTTGAAATGCCAGCCTGAGCGTGAAATGGCTTGGAAGTATTAAGACGCTTATTTGCAGCACACCGGGGACTTCGGCGCAAAGAATGGGATGGGCTTGGTGATATCTGGGCTGTGATTAAGTTGTGGGCATGATGGCTTCTCTGGGGAAGCGCCCCCCTCCCCATTATTACAGCTGAATGCAGTTATTCGATCAACCAACTCATCCCATCAACAAGGCGATCTTTAAACCAGGAGCATTCAACCGTGGCAACTTTAAGCCTTGTGGACTTCAACTCCCAGAATTCCCCAGCCAGCCACGGGGAAGTGGAAACCCACAAATTCTGGGAGTTGAAATCCACAATATCTTAAGGTTCGGACACCCCTGATTTAAGCTCTTTTGCTTAAGGGGCTTTTTCTTGGCATTCACAGCTGCTCAGAATACGAAACAAATATTTCCCCAGCCTCCTTCCGAGACCACAGGGGAAGCTGGAACAGCAGACTTGAAGGATTCCACTTTCCTACGAGGATTATGGGATTTAACGCAGCCTTTGCTTCCATAAACAGTCAGAAAACCGGAGCCCCTTTTAAAAGGGTTAGCCTAGCAAAATATTACCTGTAGTTTTTTTTTGTTTTGTTTTGTTTTTCCCCCTACGGCTTTCTCAAACCGCCAGGTTTCTGAGATGGCAACGCTGACTGTTTTTGTGCCAGAATTGCAGCGGATAGAAACCTGTTTTTTTTTTTTAAAGGCAGGTATTGAAAGCGGAGAAAGTTCTAAAGAATAAGTCAGCGATCTTTGGGTTAGGGGGAGAACAGAGGCCACTCTCCAACCAGAATTGGAGAGGCTTCTGATTAAGGATCAGGAATGTACCGCAAAGTGTCTCCTACGTGCAGGTTGCCCTCTATGTTTATTTTTCTTTGTCTGTTATTTAAGTCTGTGTGCTTTTGTAAAAAAAGAAAAACGCTTCACGCTGAACTCCCGGCCCTACGTTACAATCTGCATTGGCAGCCTGAGGAGGGGGCTCCAAGGGCCACAAACAAGACTGGGGGGGGCATTGGTTATCCTCTTATTAAAGGGAACTTGCTCCCCCCACTCAGAAAAAAACCCACAACTGCCCTTTTAATGGCTTGAACAAAATTGAGGTCCATAAGCCTTTTTTCCCCAGCTGGAATTAGTCCTCCTACAGCTGGAATTATTACAATACAATACTATACTGTTAATAGTATAGTATAGTATTGTATTGTATTGTAATATTGTAGGGTTGAAAGGCCCAGAGAAATGGAACTCCTCTTCTTAAGCCGCTGATTTGACTGTCAAACTGATCTCAGCCAGTTCCACAGAAATCCGCCTTTCTGCAATTTAAATCTGTGATTCTTTCTCCTCTGGTTTGGGATGATACACAGCAGGGTTTTCAATGTCTTTTATGAACCTCCCTGCAGGTAATTCACAGAGTGCCTTCCTTTCAAAGCTAGACCAATAAATTTAATCAATAAAATTCACAGCTGTTAAGGGAATCATGCAGTCGTTAAACAGATCCAGCTTCCTCCATTGACTTGGCTTTTCAGACGCCAGCTGAGAAGGTCGCAAATGGTGACCACGTGATCCCGGGACGATGCAACCGTCATAAGTACAAGCCAGTTGCCAAGTGCCCGAATTTTGATCACGTGACCACAGTGTGAGGACCAAGCTGCCGGTCACTATTTTTCAATGCCATTAACTGCACAGACACGAAATGAATGGCTTGAAAGTTGAAGACTAGCTGTACTATTACCACTATTTTAAGTCACGCTTTAGTCCCACTGAAATGAGCAAAGTGCCAATTTAGTTCAGATCTAGCCCATAAATTTAAAAAAAGAAAAATTTACCACCGGTCGTCTCCATTCCAAATGTACTTTAGTTTTCTTTTTCTTCTTTGCTTTCTTCTTGCTATCATGAGAGTTTTTAATTTTCTTGTTTTTCTTCTTTTTCTTGATCTGTTCTTGGCTGCCCTCAAATCCGTCACGGTCACCCCTCAGCACGCCATCTCGTTCCACTTTGTGCTTCTTCGCTTTCTTTGTCTTCTCCTTCGCTAAGATATCTTGGCCAGTTTCTGCAAAATGGCTTCCACCTCCAGTTTCTCTCTTCGCCTCTTTCTTGGCTGCTTTATTAACTTCTTTAGGGGCCTCGCAGACCCCCACCCCTTTCTTAGAGCTGCATTTTAGGCTATATTCACTCAGAATATTGCAGCAGTTTTCCTGGATCCTGGCTAAGGAGGCAAGAGAAACAATACCTATTTTCTTCAGCTTCTTCTCCTTCTTCTTGGTGGCTTCGCCGTCTTTTTCCAGTCTACGGGCCAAATCTTCCTGTCGTTGCATATCAGTACCCCTATTTTGGGCCACGTCTTTTTTTGAAATGCTGTTGCTGTTTTCTTGATCGTCCCTGTAGTAGTCAAGGTGTTTCTTCTTGACTTTTTCACCCACAACTTTCTGACCAAGGGTCCTACTCTTTTTCTGACTGGAGAGCATTTCTTGGCAACTGGGTTTCAGTTCTCCTGAAATCTGTTTCACGGACACTTCACTGTCCCTGCTATGTGAAAAATGGCCGGTAGGTTTGTCTTTTCGTTTTTCTTTTTTCTTCTTTTTCCTTTTCGTCGTCGATTCTTCATCCTGCCTGTCAACTTCACGAATACTCTTGCTGCATTTCTTGCTCAGGTGAACATGAATGCCAGGCTGCCCTTCATCCACACCCTCAGAGTTTTGGAATTGTGTACAGAAAGGCTTTTGGTCTTTCTCTTTTTTGAACACCTTATTTCTTTTCTTGGCGTCTCTTAACAGTTCTGAATCCGAGCCGCTTTCTATAACCACGGGAGAGCTTGCACGGACGTCTTTCTTTGATTCGGAGTCTCTCTGTTTCTTCTTTGGATCTGGCCGTTCTGAGCCGATTTCTTTTACCAAGCATTTTAATTTTTTTCGCTTGGCTTTTTTGGCGATATCTGAATAGCGTCCTCTGGGGCTTTCAATTATAACAACCTGGCCACAATTAGGATCTTTGGCTTTGTTCCTTTTCCTTGCTGTTTGCTCAGGATTCTTCATATTTTGGGGGACTTCACTGGAGGGGGGGGCACAAAACCACAAAAGATAAGAGGTTTTAGGATACAGGATTGCTACAAATGATGAACAGACCTCCGCTTGTGAAGCAGCATACATTTATCACAACACATGCGCAAAGGCAATTATTTGGAACAGAATGCTAAACAAGGCCAGCGTCTTTTCAAAGTACAGGCAACGTACGACCACAATGGAGGCCAAAATTTCTGTCGCTAATCAAGACCGTTGAGGAGTGAGTTGTGGCCACTTTAATTACCTTTTTTGCCACAGTTAAGCAAATTACTGCACTTGTTAAGTGAATCGTGCAATCGTTAAGCAAATCTGGCTTCCCCCATTGGCTTTGCTTGTCAGAAGCTGGCTGGGAAGATCGCAAGAGGCAATCACGTCGCTCTGGGACACTGCAACCGTCGTAAGTACATGCCAGTTGCCAAGAATATACCTAATACTCCTTCCTCTTCTCCCCACAAGAACAACTCTATGAGGTGGGTTGGGCTGAGAGAGGACTGGCCCAAAGTCATCTAGTTGGCTTCCATGCCTAAGGCAGGACTAGAACTCACTGTCTCCTGGTGATTGGCCCAAAGTCACCCAGCTGGCTTTCATGCCTAGGACAGAACTCACCATCTCCTAGTTATTGGCCCAAAGTCACCCAGCTGGCTTTCATGCCTAGGGTAGAACTTGAACTCACCATCTCCTAGTTATTGGCCCAAAGTCACCCAACTGGCTTTCATGCCTAGGGCAGAACTAGAACTCACCATCTCCTGCTTATTGGCCCAAAATCACCCAGCTGGCTTTCATGCCTAGGGCAGAACTAGAACTCACCATCTCCTGGTTATTGACCCCAAATCACCCAGCTGGCTTTCATGCCTAGGGCAGAACTAGAACTCACCATCTCCTGGTTATTGGCCCAAAGTCACCCAACTGGGTTTCATGCCTAGGGCAGAACTAGAACTCACCATCTCCTGGTTATTGACCCCAAATCACCCAGCTGGCTTTCATGCCTAGGACAGAACTAGAACTCACCATCTCCTGGTTATTGGCCCACAGTCACCCAACTGGCTTTCATGCCTAGGACAGAACTAGAACTCACCATCTCCTGCTTTCCAGCCTCCCCCAGAAAATACCATTTTACAAAGGGTGCAACATGCAAGCATCGTAAAGGTGCATTCACGGAGGGAGCTGCACAGGACCCCGCCACTGCGCCGCTGATCGGATCTGTTTTGAACCCAAAGGCACTCTGCACACGCCCCAAGGCACTCACCCACCCACGATCCCCTGCCAGACCCCAGCTATCCTATAAGACCCGGAGTAAAATGCCCGGGGAGCCCTCCCAGCCCACCCACCAAAAAGCCCCCTCCCCACTCACCTCGCGCCCCTGGCCACGCGGGAGACCCTACACTTCCTCTCCCGCCAGCAGCGGCGGCGGGGAGGGGTCAGCTCTTCCCGGCTCGACCCGGAAGTGAAAAAGCGGCGGGAGTCCCCGTGGCCTAGAGACGCGGCTGGCCGTCGCCTAGCAACGGCTTCCTCGCTCGCTCGCTCGCTCGCGCCCTTCCATGGCCGCCGTCGCTGAGGAGGCTCCGCTGTGGAGCCTCTGGGAGGAGATTTGCGCAGGTGGGGAGGGGCGGAGATGGACGTCGCTAGCCGGGGGGCTTCTGGGGGGGCTTTGCCGAAGTGGGGGAGCCGGGGGGGGTCCCCGGGGTGGTGGTGGTGGTGAAAGTATCCCAAATCCTTTTTTTTGACTTAGGGATGCTGGCGGCAGAACCGTGGGCGGCCAGCAGGTGGCGGCAGAGAGACCCAGGAAAGTTTGCAGACTTGACTTTTTGCTGGGCCTGCAAAACTGAGCAGCCCAGCTCGCCCCTCCAAAGGGCGTGCATGGGTGTGTGTGCGCGTGCAAAAGGGTGTGCGTGTGTGTGTGCAAACGGGCGTGTTCCTCCTTAGGGAGACAAGGCTGACTGGGGCAGCAGAAATAGAGGTGCGTGCACACAAAGTTTTTATTGCAAAGACACCCCCCCACACACCCACCTCCAAAGGGAATGCGACAGCCTTGGTTCCTTTCAGCTTTGGTTAATGCAATGTTTCTCGAACTTGGCCGCCCTAAGGCATGTGGACTTCGACTCCCAGAATTCCCCAGGCGCCTGGGGAATTCTGGGAGTTGAAGCCCACATGTCTTCCAGAGGCCAAGTTTGAGAAACACTGCATTAGTGTTTGTGCATGCCCGTGCTTAGATTAGATTTGATTAGTGGCCAGATTAAGATTTGATTAGTGCCTTGGAGTCAGTCTTGAATGACCAGAAATAGCATGCATTTCTATTATTTCAAAGCAGGTATTTTAGCCTTAATTGGATAAATTGGTTTTGCCTTCCTTTGTTTTCCTTTTAACACGGTAGCTTATCGTTTTCTTTAAAAGTGCAACGAGGAAAAAAAACATTTTCCCTATCTTATCTCTAATCTATAAATAAATCTTTAAAGCCTGGCCATTCTAACTGAGCCAGAGAAATCTTTTAAGAGCTTCCAGAAACGGCAACAAATTAAAAATCTTGATCTTTCATCCTTCAAATAGGATTCCACAAGTTAATTTCTTATCCTTTTCTCTTTGTCCTTTTCATTTTCTCTTTCACTTTCTTGGAAACAAACAAACAAAAGAATTCGAAGCCCAACAGCCTGTTCATCCAGATCATTTGGAAAAGAAAGAGGTACCTCCACCTGCCTTACAGGTAAAAAAAAAAAAATCCAGATGGTGGTTCTCTTCAGCTTCTTAAAAAAATAATTCTGTAACTCTTTTATGCTCTTTTAAAAAAAATCCGAGAGGATAAATATTCCATACAACCGTTGCCAAAAGATTGTTATTATAGATACACGGGCCACTTGCACAGAAATACTGAAAGCTTACGGTGTTTGAGGTATTTTAGTTTCAAGGGGGGAAAAAAACAGAGACTGTTCTACAAGCAAGATATGAGCGTGGCTGGGGATTCTGGGAGTTGAAGTCTACAAGTCTTAAAGAATGGACACCCCTGCCTCGAAACATCAGTGAAAGGGGTCAGGGCAATCCAAATTGGGAATCCTGGCTTGTGGTGTCTTTCCAAACCAAAATCGCCTACCAGGGTGTGTCCTGAGCTTCTATTCAGCTCAGTCTTGTCAACCCTGATTGGTAACCCCTCCCCGTGATTTTTTCTCCAGCTTCTGCCTGGAGATGCCAGAAGCTGAATTTAGATATTTCTGCATGCATGTCTGCCACTAAGGGCCAGCCCACCCCTATGTAGCAAATCTCATTTTGCAGCTTGCACATTATATGTCTTAATATGAACCGACAAGCTCAGTTCACTGCAGCCAGCTTCGTCCTTACACATCAACCCTCTTAGAGCTACATTTGGCTCTTGTTTTCTGTGTGTTCTTACATATTTCAGTTTCTGGTCTTAATCAGAAGAAGTGCGAGTCCCCCTAAGTTCTGTAATCCCCTTTTCCCCCATCATCTAAAAATTAAAAAAAAACAAAACAGAATCCTTATTATTAAGAACTGGTTTTTTTTCTCCTAATGATCCTTTAATGATTGTTTTCCCCCCCACAATGAAGCTTGGGATGACATATATGTGGCTTTTTAAACATATGCACTATAAATTCCTGACCTTGTAAGTTTGGCTAATGCCTGGATCAAACCAAGAAACCTAAGCACTCAATCCGGGAGGATATTCCAGATACATTTCTAACCCTTAGATCAAACTTGCCTGAGGCACATTTCTTATGTACAGTTTCATCCTCCAGAATTCTGCGAGTTAAGACCCACCATACATGTAGAAGGTATCCAGTCAGAGAAATTATCATTTAAAGAATTACTGTAGGGTCCTTGGTGCTCTCTGAGCTTGGTTGTTTTCTTTCGTGTCTTCATGACCCAAGTAGGTAACACCATCAGTGCTAGAAAGGAGTGGGGTTTGGTCTCTGTTTATCTTCCCTGTCAGTGTTGTTGGGAGCGTTCTTGGTGATTCCTTGATTAGGCTGTTGTTTTCTGTTTCTTTGCCTCAGCTGGTAGTTCCTTGATTGGGGTGTTGTTTACTGCTACATTGTTGGTCTAGTGTTAATCTTAGTATTAATCTTCACTTATTTGGGTCTTGATTGCTGTTGAGGAGGTGTTCTGCTAAAGTAAGTGAACTAACCAAGGTTAACAAAATAAACAATAAGCAGCAGTCCAATCAGGGAACTACCAAAAAGAGAACGCCTCCACCGACACTGATATAAACAGAGAGCAAACTCCACACTCTCTAGTACTGATGATGTTACCTAGTTGGGTCGTGAAAAGTCTGCAAGAAAACCACCAAGCTCAGAAAGCACCAAGGACCCCACAGGTCAACCCTGAGCTACACATATTAAAGAATTAAGTATTCCTTTCAATTGGAGCAGGGGGTTCACCTCCTTGTTTTCGCTTTTTAACAGGTTCCTGCAGACGTTGGGCCGCCGCCAGATTTGAAAGGGGATGACAGCAGATCCGTGATTACTGACGAAGTGCTCTCCCAGAAAACCCTGTCTCTTCTTTCTGAATTGGTTCCTCCTGAACTTCCTGATCTAAAAACATGTAAGTCGTCCTTGCAGCTTATCTCCCTTTAATCAGGAGCCCTTTTTTAAAAAAAAAAAAAAAAGAGAGAGAGAAATGAAGGGACATCCGGTCTTAACCAGGCTTTCTGCCCGTGTCATTGTTGCAGTCTGTGGCATTGGGGTTGGCCCGTTTTCAGCCATGTTTAATGCCAGCTTTAAAGCAGAGACACCGAAAGAACAGTAGGCAAAAAAGTGCATTCACGGTAGTCCTCGGCTTACAACCGTTTGTTTAGTGACTGTTTGAAGTTGCGACTGCACTGAACAAAGTGATCGTTTTTCACACTTGACGACCGCTGCAGCCTCCCTGCGGTCACGTGATCAAAATGCAGAGGCTTGGCAACTGACTCGTATTTATGACGGTGGCAGGGTCCTGGGTCAAGTCATCACGTGCCTGGCTGAGGAATTCTGGGAGTTGAAGTCCACAAGTCATCAAAGGGCCAAGTTGAAGACCCCTGCCTTAGAGGATTTGTGGAATAAGAAGTATCCAAAGCAGGGGTCTTCAAACTTGGCCCTTTGATGACTTGTGGGCTTCAGTTCCCAGAATTCCTCAGCCAGGCACGTGTGCCTGGCTGAGGAATTCTGGGAATTGAAGTCCACAAGTCATCAAAGGGCCAAGTTTGAAGACCCCTGATTTACATGACATGTAAATGGAACAGACTTAATATTTACATGGTTGTGAAAACAAATGTTGGTCTTTCCAGGTAGTCCCAGAGAGTTCTTGGAATGCTACATTTTCCCAGTGCTTCTTCCTGGGATGGTTGAACTTTTGCATCAAGCTAAGAAAGAAAGATGCTTTGAGGTGAGTCCCAAAACTGTTCCCGGAATGGTGTGACTTTCCAGACTGCCGGATCAGCTTGACAAAGCCACACATCGATGGCTTTTGTAGGAGACGGACTAGAAGACGTCCAAGGACCCTTCCAACTCTGTTACTCTGTTACGACCAGGCTGAGCCCGAGGGAAGGGTCAAACATGTCATCAGTCTGGTGTCCCTCCACACCCACAACTCCAGCACACTTTGAATTCCTTTGACTCTCACCTACCACAAATTTGCCTTGGCCGTTAGTAGTTCAGGTTCTTGCGAAGAGCTGGCAGTAAACTGGCATTCATTTGAACAATCCTGGTTCCTGGTTTCTTCCAGGTCTGGGATGGAGGGATCAGAAACAGTGGCTGGGGAATTCTGGGAGTTGAAGTCCCTCCACCTCAAAGTTGCTGAGTTTGAGAAACACAGCACATATTCAAGATGGACAGTATTTAATATTTATTTGTTACGTATTTGTAGGGGTGTGGGTCTAACCATATGTTGTGTATAGTATGTTTTAGGTGTGTGTCATGTATGTGTTTCACTTTGAGAGCGGGCAACTAAATCTCATTTTTGGATGTGTGCCATTGTGCCCAGTAAAAAAATGGCAATAAAGGTTCTCTTCTCTTCTCTTCTCTTCTCTTCTCTTCTCTTCTCTTCTCTTCTCTTCTCTTCCCTTCCCTTCCCTTCCCTTCCCTTCCCTTCCCTTCCCTTCCCTTCCTTTCCCTTCCCTGGCAATGGATGTTCGGATTTGAAGTCCTATTCAGCCAGAACGGCGGTTCTTGAGTTTTAAGAGCACAGCAAAGCCGCCCCTTCCAAAACTTCTCGGGTGAAATATTCCGAGGCCAAAAGCAGAAGTAATAAAAACAAAGGAGCGTGGGTGCCGTTTGTGTGAGCGAGGTTGTGCATTTTATCAGAAGTGCTGCACTGTGTAAAAGGGTCTGTGGCAGCGGTGGGCGTACCCGTAAAACAAAGCAGGCAGGGTGGCGGAATTATCTTATGCCCTGGCATTGTGTTCCAGAGGGTAACACAAACACAGCCAAGAAAGGGAGATTATTCTCCTTGTGGAAAATAGCAGGCAGCCCATCTGCCACTGAACAATGCACATTGTTAGGGAGGTTTCCTGTACACATCCGGGGGTGTTTAACCCAGCCCAGCTGTGCACAGAACCGGCCTCCTTGCTTTCTTTAAAGACAGTCGGAGCCTGAAAAATAAATACCGTAAGGCTGTTAGCCTTTTTTCGCCACGGTTCTTAAGCAAATCGCTGCGGTTGTTAAGTGAATCGTGTCATTAAGCGAATCCAGCTTTCCCGTTCACTTTGCTTGTGGGAAGGCTGCAGGTGGCTGGCGATCACATGACCCCGGGATGCCCCCTGCGTCGTAAAGACAGAGTGCCCAAATTTTGATCATTCGATGGTGGGGATGCTGTGTGAAGGTCGTAAGCGCGAGAACCAGGTCATAAGTCCCTTTTTTCAGTGCCATTGTAAATGGTTACAAGTCAGGGACCCCTTATACTCCTCTGTGGGATGCAGGGATATCTACGTACAATTGCCATAATAACATAACTCCCATTGATGCAATGACCGCACGTAAATATAACCATTTGCACGAATATTTATGTCCCGTCTTTTATTATTTTAATCAACTCAAGATGAAATACACACACACAATACCCCTTCCTGGCTCTTATTTTCCCCACAACAGCAACTCTGTGAGGTGGGTTGGGCCGAGAAGAGAGGGTCCGAGGTGGTCCTATCCTCCCTTGCCGTCCCGTGGATGCCCACAGTTTTTTGTCTGTTGAGCGTGGCTGTTTGGAGAAAAAGCAGAATAAAAATAAAAAAGTCCCTATCATTGTTCTCCTGAACCTGGTGTCTCTTGTTCTTCCAGAGGAAACAGACAAGATTTATCGCTCTGGATTTCCTCACGGAGTGGTTATACAAGTAAGTTTCTTGCTCAGGGTTAAGTATTTGAAGATAATTCCGTTACTTTCCTCCCCCCCTTCTCAATGAGACCAATGCAGAGAGTCCTCGACTTACAGTACTTCGTTTAGTGACCGTTCAAAGTTATAATGTCCTTGAAAAAGTGACTTACGACTATTTTTCACACTTGCAATCATGGCAGCATCCCAACGATCACGCGATCAGAATTGAGACGTTTGGCCGCTAACTCATACTTACGACGGTTGCCGTGTCCCGGGGTCATGAGATCCCCTTTGGCGGCCTCCTAACAAGCGAAGTAAAATGAAGAATCCAGATTCACTTCACAACCGTGTTACCAATTTAACAACTGCAGTGATTCACTTAACAGCTGCAGCAGGAAAAGTCGTAAAACGGGGCAAAACTCAACAAACGTCTCACTTAGCAACATAAATTTTGGGCTCCGTGGTGGCTGTAATTGGAGGACCACCTGTATGCTTAGTTTTCACTCTCCATTTTATGTGTGTCTGCTTTTCCCCACCACACTGATCCTCCCAGCCACAACGCGAAGAGAAAAGACGAACCGTTTGTGGAGTTTTTCGAGATCCCTTTCGTGAAGGATTGGCTAAAGGACCAGTAAGTATTAACTCGTGGTTTACACCAGCTCCATCTTTGGCTGCACTTCTTATCCCGGGAAAGAGTGAAATGCACTCAACTTGTCCCTTTTTTTCAATTTCCATTTCTTCTTCCTTCGTCACAATTGCAGCCCTCTTGACAGGCAGGATAATTTGATCACCAGTCCCTTGCAAAGTTGTGGTTTTTTCTTAGGTTTGTTTGCACAGGGGAAGGTAGAGTGCCCCCCCCCCCAAAAAAGAATTTTCACAAGGTTTTTCAGATGTGGTTTGCCATTGCCTCTTTCCTAGGGCCAAGAAAGAGGGACCGGCTTGGGGTTTTCGTGACTTGGATAGGGGTAGAACTGACTCACACACTGCTGTTTATTTATGTATTTGATTAACCATTTAAACGAAGTGATTCTCAGTGGCTTATAATTGTAAGAAGTCTCCCCCAGAGAATAAATTTCATAGGATAATGAAATCACTGCCATTCAGTCCAGAGAAATCCAGACCAAGAAACCAGGAGACGGTGAGTTCTAGTCCCGCCACAGGCACAATAGCCATCTGGGAGACTTTGGGCTCGTCACCAAGACATGGTGAGAGTTCTAGTCCTGCCTTAAGCATGAAAGCCAACTGGGTGACTTTGGGCCAAGAGACAGTGAATTCTAGTCACTCCCTCTCCGCACAACCCACTTCACAGGGCTGTTGTTGAGGGGAAAATAGAGGCGCAAGGAGTATTTATACATTCACACTGCCTTGAGTTACCTATAAAATCATAAAGGCCTGATAAAAAATCGAATACATAAACGAATAAAGTTTTTCTGGCAGAAAAACCAAAAGGCTCCGTTTTACGCTGACACTTTTCCCCCCGTGGGTTCCCACGTTTGATGCCGCTCCTAAGAGCACCGGTTGTGTTTTCCCCATCCTGGCTCCATCCTCCGTGGGAAGATGGTTGGAGTGCAGCCAGAAAGTGGCTTGGCTTCTTTCGCCCATCACGGATGATGCGAGACTCGCAGGACGCTGCCGAGAAAGAGGGCAGGCGGTAAGATATAATAAGAACATTGTGCAATATTCAGATGGCCTGGGCCTTGCGTTCAAATTCGCCTGGGCCTTGAAAGGAAATCACCCACATTTGGTGTGGTTTCCTGTGTGCCATCTGCCCACGGCCAGCTGGTTCCCAGGGGCATCTGACTCAGGTGACAATAGACCTTCAGTAAGCTGGTATTGTGAAGATTTGGGGAATGCCCAATTTGTGAGTGCTTTTTATGTCCTTCTCCTCGTTCTCTCTCCAAAGAATTTCTCTCCGGCTTCCACCACCCCCTCCGTCTCCAAATCCTCCAACGCGGCTGCTATTTACTTGGTTTCGCTAACAGATTTCGGAAAGTGGGTGCTGGTATGTCAAGGGTTCGCCCAAGTGGCTTTCCCACCCTACCCCATCCCTTCTCCTTTTCATATTCTAATGCCCCCCCCCCCCAAGTCTGCTAGTCTCAGTGGCCTTTACAGCTCCCATCACTGCTAGTTTTCAGTTGACCTTCCAGGGGTAACTTTGCATGGATGAGTGGGCTTTGCGTGCCACTTCTCCTGCCATTCATTTGATCTGATGAATGATATGAGGCCATAGCAGTCTTCCAGTATTTGAGGGGCTGCCCCAAAGAAGAAGGGGACAGCCTGTTCCCCAAAGCACCTGGGAGCCAGACAAGAAGCAACCGATGGAAACTGATCAAGGAGAGATCCAGCCTAGAACTATGGAGGAATTTCCTGACTGTGGGAACAGTTCATCAGAGCAGGGGGTCCGGAAAAGTCTCCTGCTTGGGCAAGGGTTGAATTAGAAGACCTTCCAAACTCTATTATTCTGTTCACTGTTCCAATATCTCGGGGGCTGCCCCAAAGAAGAGGGAGTCAAGCTATTCTCCAAAGCACCTGAAGGCAGGACAAGAAGCAACGGATGGAAAATAATCAAGGAGAGAAGCAACCTGGAACTAAGGAGAAACTTCCTGACCGTTAGAACAATTCACCAGTGGAACAACCTGCCTCCAGAAGTTGTGGGTGCTCCCATCACTGGAGGTTTTTAAGAAGAGACTGGACAGCCATTTGTCTGGAATGGTATAGGGTCTCCTGCTTGAACAGGAGGTTGGACTAGATGACCTCCAAGGTCCCTTCCAATTCTGTTATTTTGTTATTCTGCTTCTGATTATCCCATCTCTTTGTTCCTACACCAGCTTGTGTACCCCAAGAATTTCTTTTCAAGCCCCTGACTTCAGGTCGACTTCGAGGGCACAATGCTAAGGATGGTTACTGATTCCTCTCTCTTTGTTTACTTATTAAAGAGGGCTTAATCTGTAAAGCAAACAGAAATCCAAGATGTGCATAAAATTGTTTCTAAAATTGTATTTATTTGCATAGCGGAACGATGCTCTGTCTTTCTTCTCTAAGAAAACTCTCCAGGGGGTTAACAAGGTTTAAAACAAGCAGACCGCAAGACATAAAATTAAAATGCAGCTTGAAATTAACTATGGAATAAAGATGAACAATCTAACAGCGAAATGCCAACAGAGTAACGTGGAACGACCTATTGTTGTATTCAAATAACGGATGAAAGGCAAATGGATGGAAAACTGAAGACATGAAAAAGGGAGAGAAATGAATTTATGCTTGGGGCTTAAGCCACGTCTACACTGGATTGCAGGCATTTACAAGTACAGAAAAAGTCTTGAGCTTATAAATTAGTGTTTCTCAGCCTAGGCAATTTTAAGATGTGTGGCCTTCAACTCCCAGAATTCCCCGGCCAGCCATGGATCTGGGATAGGCAGATATGGATGTTTGATGGTGTTAGAGGTAGCGTCGCAGGTTGCAAGCTGTTCCAAGTAAAGCTGCCGTTTGCAATTGACCGATGGTGATTGTGTCAATGCCGATGGTGCTCAAACGGTGCGTCAGATGTTTTGGGATTGCACCCAAGGCGCCTATTGCTATCGGCACTCCCCTTTGCTTTCTTCTGCCACAGTCACTCAATTTCTATTTGCAGGTCTTCGTATTTGGTTATCCTTTCCAGTTCTTTCTCATAATTATTTTTTTAAAAAAAGAGGCTTTCTGTTCCTTTTTGTGTTTTTTTTTTTTTGCAAAACCCTCTGCTCTTTCCCCTTTCCGACAGAACGGAGAAGCCACAACTGCCTTGCCATCTGGGCCTGTCGCGTTTGCATGCTGTTTTCCAGGTCTCCTCCTGCTGCTGCTGCGTCTCTGTTTCCCCTTTCTTTAATTCAACACGCCCGTCAGAAAGCTGTCAAGCAGCTTGTCCATAAATGCCGAGCAGACACTCTTTGGCATACGGTGCGGGAAGCCACCCCAGAAAGACATCCCAGACCCCCCTCCCAAAAAAAAATAATCAAATCCCAACCGTGTCCCAGTGTCTCCACGTCAACCCGCCCCCTCTCTTGTGTGTCTCCCCTCCTGACTCAGGGAAGGGAACGTGCGGGGAGGGTGCTGTGCCTCGCAACGTCGGCACACGAAACCCCGCAGGCTGCCGCAGTCGGCCTGTCAACCCCGATGAACGTCAGGCCGCGCTTGGCATCTTCGATTTGCATCAACAAGCGGCGTTATCCACGAGGGGATCCGCACGCCGGGATGGCGGGGTGACGGCAGATCAAGGGATCTGCCCAAGGAGATCTGGGGGCAATTTTGCAGCAGATAGAGAGTCCTCCACCTAGGGAGGCAAGGTCAAGAAATTCAAGACGGCAGCCCTAACTCTGCTAATTTTGGCAAACGGTGCTTTGCCTGGTTTTTGATGTGTCCAGTTTTGCGGGTTTTTTTATGCTGCTTTGGCTTTGGATTGGGAGCAGCCCGGAGTTGGTTACCGAAGGGGCGGTTGTGTAAATGTTTTAAATCGAATCAAGAAATAATGGAAGCCCTGCCCCCCCCCTTTTTAATGAGTTTTGCGTGTGAAAAAAGAGGAGCAATTGGAGGCAACATCCTGACTTCTTTTTCCTCCCTTACTCAGCAACACCCTTTATTTATTTCGTGTCCAGACCAAACCCTCAATTGCCAAATTGGCCAGAAAACAAATTATCCTGATTTCATGTCTTCTTTGGAGAGAGAGAGAGAGAGGGAGAGAGGGAGGGAGAGAGACAGGGAGAGAGGGAGGGAGGGAGAGAGAGGGGGGGAGAGAGGGAGAGAGAAAGAAAGGGAGAGAGAGAGAAGGAGGGAGAGAGAGGGAGAAAGGGAGGGGGGGAGGGAGAGGGAGAGAGAGAAAGGGAGAGGGAGAAAGAGAGGGAGAGAGGGAGGGAGAGAGGGAGAGAGGGGGGAGGGAGAGAGAAAGGGAGAGAAAGAAAGGGAGAGGGAGAAAGAGAAGAGAGATAGGGAGAGAGACAGAGAGAGGGAGAGAGAGAGAGGGAGAAAGGGAGGGAGAGGGAGAGAGAGAGAGAGAGAGAGAGAGAAGGAGAGACAAACAGCTTTGAGGATCACTTCTGACATGCTTCTATTTTGGCCCTTTGCAAAGAGGTCTGTACCGAGGAGGCTGTAAATTAACTTAGCTGCCGTCCGTAGCCGGGGCAGCTGTCCCTCTACATTCTTTCCTTCAGCAAAGTTTAGAAATAGGTATTTGTCAGGATTATCTCGGGCCCTTCATTCAGGAGTTCGAGTCAGTGTGTGATACATCTCTTCTTCCCATTGTTTCCCACAACAACCCGGTGAAGCCTGGGAGAAAGGGACTCCAGGCAGTCCTCGACTTAACGACCAGAGTTGAGCCCAAAGTTCCCGTTGCTAAATGCATCTTGCCCCGTTTTGCAACCTTTCTTGCTCTACTACGCGTTAAGCGGATCGCTGCAGTTATTCATATAGTAAGACGGTTGTTAAGTGAATCTGACGGGTCGCAAGAGGGGGGCCACGTGACCCCGGGACACTGCGACTGTCATAAATGTGAGTCACTTGCCAAGCTTCTGAACTTTGATCACGTGGCCGTGGCGATGCTGCAACGGTCGTGTCAAAAAACCGGTCATAAGTCAGTTTTTTCAACGCCGTCGTAATTTTGAACGGTCCCTAAACGAACTGCCGTAAGGAGAGGACAACCTGCAGTCTGCAATCCCTTGGGAAGTTTCTGCAGTTGAAGGAGGACTAGAAATTGGTCCTTCTCTTCCATCCAGCCCCACATCACTGCTGTTAGTCCTCAAATTGCGACCAAAATTGGAAGGAGAATTTCCACTGCTAAGCAAGTTAGTTGTTAAGTGGCTCTTGCCTGATTTTATGACCTTTTTTGCTACGGTTGTTAAACAATCAAGGCAGCCGTTAAGGGGAATCACACCCTCCTTAAACAAATCCACTTTCCTCCGTTGGCCTTGCTCGTCAGAAGCCAGCTGGGAAAGTTGCAGAAAGGGATCACGTGGCCCCAGGGCACTGCAACTGTCCTAAGTACATGCCAGTTGCCAAGCCTCTGAATTCTGATCGTGTGCCTGGGGAGGCTGTAAGCACAAGGGCCGGTTCTAAGACCCTTTTTTCCAACGGTGTTGCAATGTCAAACAGTTGCTCAACCAAGGGCTGTAGGTCAAGGACTGCCAGTACTTGGATGAATGGAGGTTTAGGACAAAAGACCCAAGAACCAGCAACACAAAAAAAGAAAACAGCATCTGTGTTGACGTTTCATAGGAAACAAGCTGTTCAGCAAATGGTTTCTTCCTACGTCTAAACATCGCTGCCAAAAAATTTGGCTCCCGCCAGAGTCTCATTTGATCGAGGCTCGGATAAAAGAAAGTTTACAAATGTGTGATTTAAAGGGCCTGGCTGGAGAGGAAACAAAAGTTTCTCTCGGATCAGCGTACAAACCCAAAATATGTCTCTAGTTCTGAGTGATGACAAAGGCAGGGCCATAGACTGGAACCTTCCTAGAAGGTCCTGTGATGAAAAGGCATTTAAAAGCCCCTTTGCAAAAACTAGGACTTTGATTGGCTAAATATGAGGCCATTCCCCAGTTCTTTGGATGACAGGCAGGACAAGAAGCAACGGGTGGAAACTAATCAAGGAGAGAAGCAACCTAGAACTAAGGAGAAACTTCCTGACAGTGAGAACAATTAACCAGTGGAACAACCTGCCTCCAGAAGCGGTGAATGCTCCAACCCTGGAAGTTTTTAAGAAGAGATTGGACAGCCATTTGTCTGAAATGGTGTAGGGTTTCCTGCCTGAGCAGGGGGTTGGACTAGATGACCTCCAAGGTCCCTTCCAACTTTATTATTATTATTATTATTATTATTATTATTATTATTATTATTATTATTATTATTATTATTATTATTATTATTATTATTACTACTACTACTAGTACTACTACTACTATTATTATTACTATTATTACTATTATTATTATTAATGAACTTGGCTGGGCTTGTATATAGTTTTTTTTTAATCTAATATATCTAGCTTCTTCCCAAACCAGACCAGCGAAAACTGCCCCATCACGACCTCTTGTATTCCATAGCTGCTCTTTGCTTGCAGCTAAAATTATCTTTATGCCTCTTTTAATAACGTGCAACCTTGTGTGCGATTCCCTGAGCTAATCTAAATCCAGAGAAGATGGGATATGCCCAGGCAGAAAACACCCAGCGCACGTGTTTTTCTGGAAAACAGAAAAGACAAAACAAAACATATGCAGGATGGAATTTAGCATCTCAAAGTAGCTGCAACAGAACCATGCCAAGGAATAAACAAGTTCTGGTGATCTTTCCCAAACAGTTCTCCAGCCTGGGGCATTTTGATCAAATTGCCTCGGTAGAAGCCACTAAGAAGAAGATATCACGCTGATATCGATCGTAGTTAATCTAGCTGCTCTCCCATTTTTAGATTGATCTGTGGCTGAAAACTTCGCACAGGAAGGCAGCAAGCCATCTACCAGGCGATGCCAGATCGGTCTGGGAAATCCAGTTAGCACACGAGCCAAGCACTTTTGCTGTATTGACGGATGCCCCGCAGGGAGCCTTTAATTTTGTGCAACCGACACACCCCGCACATTGGTTTGTCAGCCGATTCATCTTGGGGTGTCCCAGCTGTCTCCTGCCACAAATAATCTATTCCCGCTTGCCCAGTCCACTCTTGCCCCTCCTGATAGTCTATTTTAATCCGACCTCGAGTCAATTATTAATATTCCAGCCGAGCAAAATGGACCCGGGCTGACTTGGGCTCCTTCAGACTGGAAGGGGTGGCTTTCTGGACCCAAAGCCCTTCCCCACCGGACTTGAGTTATATACCTCCTGTTTCTACTTTAGTCTGGGATCAGTTTCCCCCCGACAGATCCTCGTGAGTTTGAAAAATGAAGCCCGGCGCAGGCACGGACGGAATTCATACTGCCGTGTTAGGAAGGGCAAGCTTATATTTCTCCAGAAAAGAAAGCCAGGAAGTAAACATCACGGGGGAGAGAAAAAAAAAATGAAACGGAAACCTGTTTCTCCCAAAAGGTTGTATGGATACAGGTGGTCCTGAACTTACGGCCATTTTTCACCCTTGCGACTTGCAGCTTCCCTGTGGTCATGCGATCACGATTTGGACGACTCCTATTTACGACGGTTGCCGTGTCCTCAGATCATGTGATTCCCTTTGGCGACCTTCTGACGAGCAGAAGTCAATTGGGGAAGCCAGATTCACTTAACAACTGCAAGGATTCACCTAACTGGCAAGAAAGGCCGTAAAATGGGGCAAAACCTTCATCACAACTGCCTTGCTTACCAGCAGAAATTTGAGGGTGCAGTTGTGATCGTAAGTGGACGGCTGTCTGTACCGATTGGAAAGAAGCGTGCTGGGACTATTTTGCCCTTCCCTCTTTCCGTGATAAAACTTTAAATTAGGAGCACTGGTAAGATGCTCCTTGTGATCAATTTTGTTGTTAGTTGCGAAGTCGTAGCCGACCCATCATGACCCCACGGACAACGTTCCTCCAGGCCTTCCTGTCCTCTACCATCTTCTGGAGTCCATTGAAGCTCACGCCTGTTGCTTCAGTGACTCCATCCAGCCACCTCTGTCGTCCCCTTCTTCTCTTGCCCTCCATCTTTCCCAGCATCAGGCTCTTCTCCAGTGAGTCCTTCCTTCTCATTAGGTGGCCAAAGTACTTGAGTTTCAATTTCAGGATCTGGCCTTCTAAAGAGCAGTCGGGGTTGATCTCCTCTAGGACTGACCGGTTTGATCGCCTTGCAGTCCAGGGGACTCGCAGGAATCTTCTCCAGCGATAAATTACCAAGTCCTTTTAGACAAAGAAGTTTCCAAGTTTGTTCATCTGATGGCTTTGGGAGATTAAAACTTGAATTATGAAAACAAGAAAGGGAGATCGAACAGTTGAAATGTGTGGCTTCATCTCGACCTTCAAGCAAAGGATGGATTTTATTTTTTTTTGCCCAAGCTGAGGAATTCAGAATACTGGAGAATTTTGTTTCGCTCACAGGCAGAAATGAACCCAGCTTACGGTGCCTAAACACAAAGGACGACGTCCTTCAGGACTGCCTCATGCCTTGAATTTTGCGATACAATCCTCAGCATGAGTTCAAGTTTTGCGTTAGCTATGAAAGTCAGCTGGGTGACTTTGGGCCAATCTCCAGGAGACTGCGAGTTCTAGTCCTGCCATAGGCATGAAGGCCAGATGGATCACTTTGGGCCAGTCTCTCTCTCTCTCTCTGTCTCCCTCTGTCTCTCTCTCTCTCTCTCTCTCACACACACACACACACACACACACACACACACAAACACACACACACACACACAGGGTTGTTATTATTATGGGAAAAACAGGAGGAGGAAGGTGTGTTGGATATGTTGGCCGCCTTGAGTTATGTGTAAAAATAATAAAGAGGGGGATATAAATACATAATAAAAAATATATATTTCTTCTAGTCCTAGACCTCCCATTCCTTTGTCTCTGCTGCTCAGCGAGAAAGAAGCCGGCTTCATCATCCAAACCTTCTGGAAAGGTTATCGGGTAAGACACCACCACCCCTGTATTAATTCTGCCAGATGTTCCCTCTGTGCAACAGGCTTTGGCTCAAGGGGAACCCCCTGCGTAGGGCTTCAACCGCAGGTGTGGCTCGTGGGAGAAAAGATGCTGACAAGGGGAAACTCAGCTTTTGTTTCCCACCAGGCTAGACGTTCAAAAGCAGACGTGGTCGGGGCCAGGAACGTCTTCAGGTCATGTTGTCCCTTGTCTTGTTTAGTCCAGAGTAGTGTTTTTCCAACCTGCACAACGTTTAAGACTTGTGGACTTCAACTCCCAGAATTCCCCAGCCAGCATGGCTGGCTGGGGAATTCTGGGAATTGAAGTCCACATACCTTAAAGCAATCAACATTGAGAAACACTGGTCCAGAGCATCATCTAATGGAAATCGCACGTGTCATTGAAGAAGGGAGGAAGGATTCAGCTAATTGGGGGAGAAGAACAAGCAAAGAACGGGATGCTTGGCATTTGAAAAGGAAGGAGAAAAAGAGAACGTAGGAGAGAAGAAGGAAGGGTAATTTGAAAACAAATCGTAACAAGAGGACACACAAAGATGGTTTATGAGAGGGCAACCTTCTTATATTTCTAACTTCTTGTCCTTGACCCTAACCCTAACCCATCCGAACACCACCTGAAATCTTCCCCAAAGTCCATTAGACTTTAAATAATTGCTGTACATTTTAATCACCCACCCATGGCCAATCCCCTGACTTTTGCCAGCTAAATCTTGCCAGCTAAATGCTAAATCTGTGTCCTGACATACCTAAATTATATCAATCTATTGGAAAGATTGAGAGACTCGAACGCACGTTGAAGGCGGTCCCACAAAATGGCCGCCGTAGCAACATGGCGGCCATGACTATTTCCTTGTAGCTGACCTCTAGTTTGGAGGCTCAAATCAGCTCGGGAAATTAAGAAATGAATTAGGCTGGACAAGAGCAGCAGTTCCAGAGTAAACCCATACAACGTGCGAGATAAACTTAGCTCAGTGTTTCATTTGTGGGGCTTTTCTGTCCAGCTTCTGCTGGAAACATGATCCTGGACTAAAAGTCCTTTGCTCTAAGCCTCTGCTGGTCTACTAGGGAAATTATATGTTTGATTGATTGGTTGGTTGATTAGTGGGTTGATTGCTGTGACCCAGCGTGTTGCTGGTTGTCCTGCTTTTTTTTTTTTGTCACAGGAAAGCACATGGGGTTGGAGAGTAGAGAGAGTGTTGTCTGAGACACATCCTCTCATTCTGGATTTAAAGGTCAACAGAAAGGATAGGGCTGGAGATTTGCTACTTATACTCCTCTGGCTATTTTAAGCCAGACACAGCCGGGACCTAATAGTTTCCATTGTAAGAAGTAATCCTATTGGTAGCTTATTCTGTCCTGATGACTCTTTGCTCAATCAGAGAGAGAGAGATGGATGGATGGATAAAGGAAGATCCCAAAAGATCATAGCCAGAAGCTAAATGGGTGTTTCTGTGGTTTCTTTGTACCAATCAGTTAGAAAACATCACTCCTGAATATCTGTGGAGATCCTCAGTCATCCAGGTCATGGTTATCCCAAAAGTGCTTTTTTCAGAAGGCAACTGGACCTTGTTTTTTCCTTGAAGACATTTCACTTCACATCCAAGAAGCTTCTTCAACTCATGAGCTCATGGGCTGAAGAAGCTTCTTGGATGAGAAACGCAACTTCAAGGAAGGAAACAAACTACAGTTGCCTTTTGAGAAAGCACTTTTGGTCATTCCTAAATGATGATGATCATTTTTTCCATTCTGTCGTGTCCGACCCTAGGCAATTATACAGGCCAAGATATCTCCACAGCTTCCTAAATCTATATACAATACTTAACAGTCGCCAATAGAGAACTGAGTTTGGGAAGTTGACAGCATGTTGTGAAGAAAAGGCTGCTGGAATTGGGTCTGTCTAGTTTAATGAAGAGAAGGACGAGGGGGGAGATGATAGCAGCCTTCCAATATCTCAGGGGCTGCCACAGAGAAGAGGGAGTCAAGCTATTCTCCAAGGCGCCTGAAGGCAGGACAAGAAGCAACGGGTGGAAACTGATCAAGGAGAGAAGCAACCTAGAACTAAGGAGAAACTTCCTGACAGTTAGAACAATTAACCAGTGGAACAACCTGCCTCCAGAAGCGGTGAATGTTCCAACACTGGAAGTTTTTAAGAAGAAACTAGACTGCCATTTGTCCGAAATGGTATAGGATTACCTGCCTGAGCAGGGGGTTGGACTTGATGACCTCCAAGGTCCCTTCCAACTTTATTGTTGTTGTTGTTGTTGTTGTTGTTGTTGTTGTTGTTGTTGTTATTATTATTATTATTATTATTATTATTATTATTATTATTATTATTATTATTATTATTATTATTATTATTATTATTATAAGAAGGCTATTTAATATCAACTCAACATGTCTATGGAGATTCTCAGGCATCCAGGTCATGGCTGGTCTCAAAAGTGCTTTTCCAAAAGGCAACTGGACTATGTTTTTTCCTCATGCAAGAAGCTTCTTCAGTTTTAGCTGGATGGTGGGGAGGATGGATGAGCTCTGCTATCCTTATGTTCCCCCCACCACCATCTGATCAGAACTGATGAAGCTTCTTCATCTTCTTCAAAGAAAAAACATAGTCCAGTTGCCTTTTGAAAAAGCACTTTTGAGATTGACTCAACAGATACCTCCAGATTTTCTTACCCAAGCACGTATGTTTTCCCATTTCCAGGTCCGTTGCGATTCTGAAGTCCAGGAATTACGCCAGTGGCAAAAACATTTGAGGGAGACAAAGAACATTAACAAACGCGTACGGGAATTCTGGGCCAATCAAGAAAAGAAAGGTAACTAGGGCTGAAATGGTTTCTTCTCAAGATGCCGGTGTCACAACTGAAAAATGTTTAGGCTGATTGATAAGGTCAGTTCAGCTTTTCTCAACAGTGTATGTTAAGACTGCATCGGATTACGGTGCCCGCTAGGAAATTCAACTCTTGTGCATAAGTGAAAGATTCGCAATCAAGATGAAGGGAAAAAAATTAACCACCATCTAACTAGAGAAAAACATTGCTCAGAAATAGACCCTTCCTTACTGTCCCCCTCAATCTCTCCACATCTGTTTCCCTAGGATAGGGGTAGGCAACCTTGGCTCTTTTATGACTCGTGGACTTCAACTCCCAGAACTCCTGAGCCAGCATGGCTCAGCTTGGAAACCTCTCCCTTTCCCCTCAGCATGGCTGGCTCGGGAATTCTGGGAGTTGAAGTCCACGCGTCATAAAAGAGCCAAGTTTGAAGACCCCTGGACTAGATCAGGGATAGGCAGCCGTGGCTCTTTTATGACACGTGGACTTCAACTCCCAGAATTCCTGAGCCAGCATGGGGGAACTATGGCCCTTTCATGACTCGGGGACTTCAACTCCCAGAATTCCTCAGCCAGCATGGCTCAGCTTGGAAACCTCTCCCTTTCCCCTCAGCATGGCTGCCTCAGGAATTCTGGGAGTTGAAGTCCACGAGTCATAAAAGAGCCAAGGTTGCCTACCCCCCTGCCCTAGGACTCTGTAAACTTTTCTTCCAATTGAAAGGTGCAGTCTTGAAAGAAACCAGTATGGGTTGCATGAAAAAAAGGAGTTAGAAGATGTTTTTATCCTTTCTTTTTTTGGACCTATCCAAACATGTTTTTCATCCCTTGCATAGGAAGGACATCGCGATAGCACTTGATGTCCATCCCTTGTGTGCCAGTGTTGTTATGCAAAGACAAGTAGTCCTTGTGTCCCAAACCCAGATATCTTCGCTCACCATTTATTTGACCCCTCTGGTTCTTCCTGAAGTCATGGCCACGATGGAAAGGTTTCCCGTTCCTCCTCAACTTGCAAACAAACAAAAAAAATCCCCTCTCACATGATCAGATAAAGAGAAAAAAATATTTCCCCTTTGCTTGGTCTGTGTTTGTTTAAAAGAGCTGTCCTTTTTTCAAAAGCGCTTTTTACTCACCATGAGTTGGCAGACCAAAGGCTGAACTTCGCGGGGGATTTCATAAAGCCTGCCTCCTCTGGGGCCCATCACATGATAACAAAATTGTTTATTCAGGGTTTTTTTTCTCCCCCACACACACACCACCCAGACAATGGCACATCTGTCCTTTGCAAACAGCAGCCTCCATTCAAAATGTGCACAAAAGCTAGCATTCTCTTTCCCGAAACTTCGTAGTTCAGGGTTGAAACCAATCAATGGGCATGTGTCTGCTTTGGCAGAAGTGCGCAGCTTTCTCCTGGTTGAATGCTTGAGATTCTTCTCCTAGTTCACGAATACGACGGTCTTCCTAAAGGAGATATCCTGCATGGGAATTGTGGAGGCTGAAGTCTGTCTTAATAACTGTCTATCCCAGGGGTAGGCAACCTTGGCCCCTTCATGACTCGTGGACTTCAACTCCCAGAATTCCTGAGCCAGCCATGCTGAGGGGAAAGGGAGAGGTTTCCAAGCTGAGCCATGCTGGCTCAGGAATTCTGGGAGTTGAAGTCCACCAGTCATACAAGAGCCAAGGTTGCCTACCCCCCTACCGAAACCAGGGGTGGGCAACTACAGTCCTGTGGACTTCAACTCCCAGAATTCCTGAGCCAGCCATGCTGAGGGGAAAGGGAGAGGTTTCCAAGATGAACCATGCTGGCTCAGGAATTCTGGGAGTTGAAGTCCACAAGTCTTAAAGTTGAATGGACACGCCTGGTTTACACCAAATGATAGCTTTTCATTTAATTTGTTTTTTGTTGTTGTTTTGAATTGGCCTCTGCCCGCCATCCACACGCATACAAAATCATGAACCATCCTTTCAAAATCAAGCCACACCACCCCCGCGTCTTGTGTGAGCCTGGACGTTAAAAAGTGTGTTTGCATCCAATGCCAATCAGGTGCCAGAGAGGGCACGGACATTTGATCTGGTCAGCAACAGCTGAGAATGCAGCACTCCAAACACCACAACCCCATAGAGGGGTCCAAGTTCTCTCCCCGTGGGTTTATGCATGTGTAGGTGTCTTTGAAGTTGGGCTTTGAGGGGCAGCCAAATCCAGGAAGATCGTAGTAACTCTGAAATGCAAGTTCTTACCGGGGATTTATTTTATTTTTTTAAAAAGGCACCTTTATCTGGATTCATGCATCATACAAAGCTATAAGAAGTCTTTACTTAGTCGGAGCAAAGTAAATTCCGTTCAAGTACTTTGCAAACATACATTAAGGCCAGTGGTGGGATTCAAATAGGTGAACAACCGGTTCTCTGCGTGGATGCCGCTTCCGGAAGTCCATTCTGGGCCTGGGCAACAAAAAATTAGCTACCAGTTCTGCCAAACTGGTAGCTGAATCCCACCACTGATTAAGGCTGAGCATGAGTCTTTTCAAACTTTATAGCATTGTGACTCTCTAAAACAGAGGTGTCTCATCTTGGCAACTTTTAAGATTCGTGGACTTCAGCTCCCAGAACTGCCCAGCCAGCCTTGCTGGGGAATTCTGGGTGCGGAAGTCCACAAGTCTTAAAAGTTGCCAAGGTTGGACATCCCTGATTTAAGGAGTTGCGAAGAATTGAGCCCACCTTAATGGCGTTTTACTCATTCTTGCCCCATTCTGTATTCATTTAAACATCTGCACACGAATGTTTTCAATTTTTTGACAGCCGAAAAGGTTTGTTTAATAACATAAACCAAAAATGTGTATTATTTTTTTCCAGTGGGAACCAAACTGGAAGACTCTGAGGAGCCCAGTCCAAATCGCTCAAAAACCATAATGGCGGAAATGTCAAAGACACCTGAGGTCAAAGCAAAGATGAATACGGACCAGCTAAGCAGCTCCAAGCCTGCAGAGAATTCGTCGCAGGTAAGACGCATCGGCCTCTTTTAATTATAAAGTCGTATTCTTCAGAATGATGGGTTCAGGGTTCCAAATCCTCTGCTGGTGTGGGACATGAGGGAGGTGTCCTTGACCAAAATAGGCAAGAAACGTTTTATTTATTTGTATCCCACTTTTATTATTTTCATAAATATAAAAGGCGGTGAACATAACCAATGCATCCTCCTCCTCCTGTTTACCCCACAAAAACAATCCTGTGAGGTGGGTTAGGCTGAGGGAGAGTAACTGGCCCAAAGTCATCTAGTTGGCTTTCAGGGCTTAGGTAGTACTAGAACTCACCACCTCCTAATGATTGGCCCAAAAACACCCAGCTGGCTTTCACGCCTTAGGTGGGACTAGAACTCACCATCTCCTGGTGATTGGCCCAAAGTCACCCAGCCGGCTTTCATGCCTAGAGCAGAACTAGAACTCACCATCTCCTGGTGATTGGCCCAAAGTCACCCAACTGGCTTTCATGCCTAGAGCAGAACTAGAACTCACCATCTCCTGGCTCCTAGCCTGGTCCCTTCGCCACTATACCAAATTTGGTCTCATTTTAATACAGTAAATATCCATAGATATAACCCACATAAACCAAAGTGATGCATTTATAAGAATTCAAAGAGGGTCCTGGGATCAAAATGTTTCGGAAATGCAAACACCGGTAGCTGCGTAGGGAACATGTTCTCCTTACTAACCATTTCAACGTCATCTGGAACATGTTGCAAAGCCAGTCTGTCCATTTAATAATAATAATAATAATGGTAAAGTTGGAAGGGACCTCGGAGGTCATCTAGTCCAACCCCCTGCTCAGGCAGGAAACCCTATACCATTTTGGACAAATGGCTGTCCAGTCTCTTCTTAAAAACCTCCAGTGTTGGCGCATTCACCCCTTCTGGAGGCAAGGAGTTCCACTGGTTAATTGTTGTAACTGTCAGAAAGTTTCTCCTTAGTTCTAGGCTGCTTCTCTCCTTGATCAGTTTCCATCCGTTGCTTCTTGTCCTGCCTTCAGGGGCTTTGGAAAATAGCAACTTTTTACGGGGGGGGGGGATGTAGGAACAGCGCCGCAGGGGCTGATGGGCGCGCGAGGGCGTCCGGCCTCTAGAGAGAGAAAGGGTAGAGCGACACGCCGCCACTCAAGCCTCCGTCACGGGCTCTTGACCTGTGGCCTTGATACGGAATGAGCCCGACGGAAGGCTGTGTAAGAGGGGGGGGGCTCAGGAAGGGTTTTTCTTTATAACCCTCAGGAATCTATAACGGGTTTTTACGGTTTATAATTCTTAGTTTCCTATCTCTAAGAGTAATCTTCCCTCCTCCCCGTCCTCCTGGGGAGGATATGACATTAACTGCTTGATATGAACACATGGAGATAACAATTAGAGGGGGCCTCTCTGCCGGCATTAGGAGAATCCCAGTATCACAGAGTTGGAAGGGACCTTGGAGGACATCTAGTCCAGCCCTCTGCTCAAGCAGGAGACCCCTTAAGAGAATCATAGAATAACGGAAGGGACCTTGGAGGATTTGGTTTGTAACCATCTGATGCGCTCGCCGAGAATGTGTTCTTTAAAAATTAACAAACGTATTATGAAAAACACCCTAAGAGCTTTAGGTCGAGCAATATGCAAAGTCCTTTTCTCTCTCCCCCCTCCCTCAGTTCTAGAAGCATTAGCAGTTGAAAGGATCAAAAAAAGGATCTCTTGGGACCCAATTCGGGCCGATGGCAGCTGTGTTCATTAAACTGTAACCCGTCACACAAACATTTGACACACAAAAGCTTTTCAGCCGAACAAACTAAAACAAAAAAACAAATAATGACCAGGCCATTGTAAGTAAATAGTAATTTTTTTATTTTATTTTTTATTTTTATTTTTTTATTATTTTCTTCATTAAGAACAGCATTTTGAAAATAAAATGTATCTATCTGCCCAGGCTTTACAACTCTCATTTTTGTTTAGTTTAAATTTCATATCTCTTTATGTACAGTCCATATATTGGTACACAACTGATTGTCTCAAAAACCTTCCAGAGATGTAGAATATGACATGGTACGCAACGGTCAAACAGGATAGGGAAGGGGAGAATATTATAAAAATGCACATTAATACATTTAATAAATATTTACATATATTATCAAAAGAAGAAGAAGAAGAAGAAGAGAGCACTTATTTAATTAAAAAGCACCGGTTGGGTTATCTGATAGGCTAGTAGAGTAGTCAAATTATAATATATATATATATATATACAGGGCTTTTTTTCAGCCGGAACGCGGCGGAACGGCGTTCCGGCACCTTTTTCCGGGCCGGCCGCACCGGAAATAGCCCCTCCCAAACCGGAAATAGCCCCTCCCAAATTTTACTTGCATTCCGGTTCTCTAAAGGGGCGGTCCTAGGGTTTGATGAGGGCGTGGCCAGGTTTGAGTTCCGCCACCTTTTCGCTGAGAAAAAAAGCCCTGTATATATATATATATATGTTTTCAAATCTCCTAATCAAAGCTACATTTGCTTCTGATTCTGCTGTTTTGGGTTAGAACGGAAGCTTCGAACAGTAAATTAGCCAAAGCAACGATGTTCCCCAAAAGTAGATTTCAGCTAGTATTGGAAGACATCTTACTTAATTTAGGATTCAGCCTGGAGATGATCATTTTTCCTGGGGACCTATAATCATTCTACAATCACAGACATGGAAGTCCAGGCCTTCTCAAACATCGGCCATGATGGAACTCTCTTTCCCCAGCTTGGACACCCTTCAGATGCCTGGACTCTAATTCCCAGAATTCCCCACCAGGGTGGTCAATGTTCCTGAGAACTCTGGGAGCCCCAAGACTCCTAATTTTGCTCTCATCGGAAGAGTGCCAAGCTTGAGCTTGAAGGAAGAACTCATCATCCAGCTGATCCCCACAGAAATTGGGGATCTTCATGGAAATTGACAGTCGATGAATGTAAATGGAGATAACATCAAGCCAGAGACCTCCTTGGGTTCTGATTGGCCAGCCCTGCTCTCCATGTATTTCATGCATGACCCTCCAAGCTATTCAGCTGTGGAAAAGGGGTGCAGCTGACAGGAAGTTAAGATCATGCACCGAGATTAGTAGAACGGAAGCATGCTTAATGTCGCTGGAAAGATCGCTACCGGCTTTGAGGAGGTGCAGTTTGCAAGCAGCCTGAGAATCAGAAGGGGAAGGGAGGGTGGTGTTCCCACCCTGTGCGTTGCAGATCATGCTTTCTCCATGGAGAGAATGGCCTTCCATGCTCCACCTAAGGCAAGCTTACACAACGTCACCCAACTCTCTCCTTCAACCCTTTGCTGAGTGGCATTTGCTGCTTGATGCCGGAGCTCCGTAATCTGGGCCGCAAGGATCAAGACATCCTCTAGATGGCTGCAAAGAGCTCAGAAAGCTCTATCTCTCTTCTGCCATCTGGTGGTCGATTGGATGTTTTCAGCCCGATTCTGGAAGTCCAGTGAAAAGCCACCACTTGTGCCAAACAACACAGCAATGCTCGGACTGCACCTGTCATTCAAAACGTTCCTTTCCAATTCGCCAGGGGGGGGATTTGATCCAGCTCATTCCCGCAATTTCAGTATAAATTGCGTCCTACCCTGCTTTTCTATGTTGGGGGAGTTGCTGTATAGTTCTAGTTACATTAATCGGCAATCACAAAGCACAGAATAACATCGATGCTTCCCAAAGCAAGCAGCAGTAAACACAGGCGGTTTAGCGTCCCGTGTGTCAAGTGCCTCCCCAGATGCTCTACAGTCATCACAACTTTTGACCGAAAGCAAACATACAACTTTTTTGTAACCTTTTAACAAAGATACAACTCAACACAAGGGGGCCTTTTAAAAGGTTTCTAACAGGAGTTTTGGGGGAAGAGTTGCAGGAGCAACAAACATCAGAAACCACAGGCTGACTAATAATAACAACAATAATAATAATAATAGTTCAAGAAAATAATAATCCCTTCTTATAATTTTATCGGCACACCTCCCACCACTAGGAGGCATGGCCCAGGTTCACAGGAGAGGTTAGAGGGAGTCCTGGGTTTCCAAGATCCAGCCCTGTCTTTAAGCTCCCAAACTGCCATTGATTTAACGGGAAGTAGGACCGCTAAATCCTTCCTTGTCTAAAAGAAAAAAAATAAACACAAATTGGACAACCTCAGAACTTTCTAAAAAATAGTCTTTTCCTCCAGTTAAAAACAACACAGTTTCGTCTTTCTCTTTCTCTCTCTCTCCTATTGTCCACATTCAACTGGGAAAATTAATTATTTCCAACCGTTTAATGCAGGTTCATCATATGCATTTTGGTAACAAAAATAGTTTCAAAACCCCATTTTCACACATATCAAACCTCTGTCATGCACAGATCCATAGCAAAGTACCAACTGTGTGTGTGAAGCAGCCATACATGGCTAAATTTTACATTTTTTTAGGAACGTCCCTCTTATTAAAAATATTGCTTTGTATTTTAAACAAAGATTAGGAGAACAGCAAATCATCCCATTTTCTCACAATCTTACATGATGAAATAAGATTTGCATCAAATAAAATTTTGCAAATTCCTGGAACACAACAATGCAGTTTCTCCCTCTTATAGGTAAGCCTTTGTGGGCCACAAAAATTATTGCTCGGCAACTTTTTAAAAAGACTAAACTTGCTAAAATGATTATGGCAACAAGAATTCATGGAACAAGGAAAAGTGTGTGTCACACACTGTCTGGTTTTGCACCAGTTACACTCCTAAATAAGCCAGGTTCTCACGGAAGTGATGCCAACATTGTGCCTTGTAAAGCGCACCAACGTGGCATCTACCATCACATTTATTTCAAGGTTTTTCACACTCTGCTTTTTTCACACTAAACAAGGAGATTCAAAGCTGACAAGAGCGGATACATAAATTTATAACAGAGTTTTATTAGCCCTTCTTTCTGCCAAATAGCAACAAGACTCAAGTAAATCATAAAGAAAGAAAGCAGTTCTTAACAGGAAGAAAAAAAAACCCCCAAAGTTTTAATGTTAGCAAAACATTAAAGTGCACTAAATTTGATGGGACGAGGAGTTTATTTCCCTATTTCTGAATAAAGAATGACTTTAGGACCACTTATAAGTAAAAGAGATCCTTTGCTAGTGCTATAGCCAATATCTAAGATTTTCAGAATAATTCTCGGTTCAGGGTATTACATAATGGCATGCCTTTACATCATAATATTTATTATTATTATTATTATTATTATTATTATTATTATTATTATTATTATTATTATTATTATTATTATTATTATTATTATTATTTATTTATTTATTTATTTATTTATTTATTTATTTATTTATTTATTTATTTATTTCCTAATGCTAGTATTTATATGTAGAAAATTAGCACGCCAGAGAGAGATTCATTTAGAATCTTTCCTGAGAAGACAGAATGCATCTTTTGACTATGGACAGTTCTGAGTGCAAGGAACTGACATATAATATAAAAAAGCATTTAGACAGTTTAACCCCTTATTCCCTACAGATATATTACCCAGACAGCGAGGTTGGGTACATTAACAAGCAGAATGGAATCAATAGAATTAGGTAAATTAAAAACCGGGGACGTGAAGAAGAAGAAAACAAAAGCATCCTCAAACACACCAATTAATTACATTTCATTTTCTTTTCTGAGAACCGGCGATCAGCTTTGCAAATCTGAAGAATTCAGCAATCTTATTTCTGTTACCACTGTCAGTTGCCCATTTACAAAGCAAATCTTTTTAGAACAAGTGCAAAAAAACACCCCAAACCCTCCATCCTTTTGAGATATTTTATACCGTCCTGGTTTTACTGATATCTCCCCTCCCTCTCTCTCTCTCTCACACACACACACACACACAAACACACACACAGAGTCACACGTGCTCTCTCACACACACACCTTAACCAAGCAAATCACACTTGCTTTTTTTTTTTTTTAGTCTCTAGGAAAGCAGAAAGCAGGTGCTAGCTAGCCAGCCGAATGTAAAAAATGACAAATCTCCATGCCTGATAGGCTTTAAAATGCTCACCCATGAAAGGAATGCTTCGCCAAACATCAGTGAAATCATAGCAATGTGAAAAGGCAGAAAGAATTAGGGCGTTGTGGCAAAGGAGCGGGGCGGGCAGGCAAGAGATTCCCCACGTCCAGATGAAAGCGATCAAATCATAACAATAATAATAACCCAACGTTCCAGATACACACGAGAAAATGTGCAAAAAAACCGGTTGCAGTCCACGAGAGCTTCAGTGTTCAACTAGGGTTGGGAGCGAAGGCTGGGAGATTTTAAAGCTCACTCCGTGGAGAGGATTTCCTGGCACGCAAAGGAGCTCAGGTTTAAATGCGTAGTGGGGATAATACATTTGGTGATCCACCGAGATACATTTTCCTTTTCTTGAAAACTCTTGGGAAGCATGGAGGGATCGTTCCCACGCATTCTCTTTCTCTTCCTGGTCCTTGAGCTACCTTAGCTACCTCTCTGGCACCAGTTGTTTTCCCCCTCTGGAGACCCAGTCTGTGTGACTTTGCCCCTCGTTGACCTTGGTCAATCAAGAAAGCAAGGCAGATGTTCCTTGGTCCTACCAAGCACACCCTGATGGTCAAACTGCTCTGTTCTGCTTCTGGGAGAAGAGAAGCCGGGTGAAAGCTCTTATGGTTTCAAGAAGAGCTTCGGAGGGTGCCTACGAAGCCACCTCTGACTTTGGGTCACTGTTGCTGCCTGATCTGGAATCCCACCAGAATCTTGGATGTGAAGAGAAAGCACCCTGTCCATAGCTTGAGGTTCCATAGTGCAGCTCCACAACTCATTCTCAATCGGCGTTTCTCAACCTGGGCCCCTTTAAGACGGGTGGACTTCAACTCCCAGAATCCCTCAGCCAACGTGAATTCCACCCATCTTAAAGGGGCCAAGCTTGAGAAACCCTGCTCTAAAATCAGGGTGTCTCCAAAGTTGGCCACTTTAAGACGGGTGGTCTTCAACTCCCAGAATTCCCCAGCCAGCATTCTGGGAGTTGAAGTCCACCCGTCTTAAAGTGGCCAACTTTGGAGACACCCCCTCTGCTCTAAATGGGCTTTCCCCCCCCCCATGAATGCTGTTCAAAGAGTAGCAAAGAAGTCCCAAGGCCCCTTGTACGTCGGACACTCATGCCCCACGCACGGTTCCGTGAATTAAAGACCTTTTTTGCCTTCCTACAATTCTGCCCCTTCCGAAGCCTTCCCACTTTCTCTAACCCAAACGCTTTCTTCTGATTTTGCTACTGGATCCCTTTCTCCTCCCCTCCCTTTTTCTATTTTTAAAAAAGAAGAATGCGCCTAGGTCTACTTTTAAATCCGGTCAGCTTCTATTGCATCCTGGAGGCTCCTGGTAGCTTAGCTTATCGATTTGACAGTGCTCGTGGTTTGTTTGTTTTTGTTTCGTTTATTCGTTTTATTAAAAAAAGGAAGAAAAAAAGGAGAAAACAACTCCGAGCTATCAGTTTTTCTAGGACCTTCCACAGAGCCCCCCCCCACATGGATTTCCTCCCTCTGAAAACAACACACTTTTTTGGGAGGGGGGGGGCAACCAATTTTTGTTAATGGATTCTCTCTCTCTCTCTTCCTGTATGACCTCTAAGCTTTTCACCATAGGTGTCTTCCCGTGTAACTCGGTGGAGCGGTCGGAATCTGGAAATAAGGATAATACATCCAGGATTAAGCATTTTTGAGCGCTGCTTTAAGACAGTCACATTACAAAGCCCTGCAGGGCACTTGATCTGGTACATTTAATCCTTGACTTAACTTACGACCACACAGTTGAGCCCCAAATTTCCGTTGCTAAGTGAGTCAGCGGTTAAGCGAATGTTGCCCCATTTTACGACCTTTCTTCCCACACTTGTGAAGTGAATCACTGCAGTTGCTAAGTTAGTAACCTGGTTGTTAAATAAGTCTGGCTTCCCTATTGACTTGGTTCGACAGAAGGTCGCAAAAGGGGGACGGGGCGACCGTCGTAAAATATGACTCGGTTGCCCAGCATCCAAATTTTTGATCGCGGAGATACTGTGACGGTCATGAGAAAAACAGTCACAAACCACTTTTTTTTCCAGCACGGTTGTAACTTTGAACAGCCGCTAAGTGGACTGTTGTAAGTCAAGGACTACCTGTACTCTTTCTTCTTCCTCTTCTTCTTCTTCCTCCATTAGTTATGAAACAAACCCTCGGATTCCCATTTTCACGGCCTGCTTCTACTGCCTTGAATTGATCAGACACTTTCAGCTCCTGAATCTTACTAAGGGGTGAGACCCCTTGTAGGAGGGAGCAACACATAACTTGCCTACATTGCTCTATTTTCATCTTCCCACCTGCCAAAAAAAACCCCACTGGGATTTGGCTCAAGAGTTGCAAATAGGCTTCTGGGTTTCAGAAAGGCAGCTGCTAGCCGATTAAAATCAGCTCAACCGCGCCACGGGTGGGAGATGAAGAGGGTTCGGGATTTAAACCCTCTGAACGTGGAGTTGCGTGTCAGAACCCTCTGCTGTGGGCTGAACCGAATATCCTTCCTGATATGGGTCTGGCACAGACTGCATCAAGCTGGGGAGGAGATCAACTGGGTGTTTTTCAACATCAGCCTTTCCCCATCTCTCCCAAAAACAAGTCTTCTCAAAGGAAAAAAATATGCAAAATTGCCTTATGGAGTGAGGGGCTGGCTTAAAAGAACGCAAACCCAAGTTCTATGGAGCACAAGCCAAAAATAAGTGACATTTTGAAGCAGGCCACACGGCAGCGGATCATGACAGTTAAGCAGCTGAAGGGAGAGAGCATCATTGGTGGGCCAACAAAACTGGAAGAACGTAAAGAGCAAAAAGGATCAAGCGATTGGGCAGCTCCTTGGTCAACACTGACCTTAGGCAACGCAAAGGAGATGCCTAATCTTTTGAAGCACCCAACTTGGCATCAGGCATTTTGGCCGCGGTGGGTAGGAACTCTTTGAGAAAGGGCCCTTGGTAGCAAAGCCACACAAATTTAAAGGAAAGACTCCACCAATGGATGGTAGGTTCAGCTAAAAAAACAACAACAACACAAGGCGGTGATTTGTTGGGAAGAGGAGCAATGGGTCAATGCTAATGGACGAAGAAGCTTTCCTAGAGACATCATCTCAAGTTTCTTAGACCAGAAGAACATTGCAAAAGTGAACCGGTCCAAATTTTTTTCACTGACTTACTAGGAGGAAATTGGACAAGATAAATCATTTTTCCCCCCTTCCCCAAAAAGGGAGGAGATGGCATGGTTGTGTTAGTCCCTGGACAACAATCTTAGCAAAGAAAAACTTGACTGGCTCGACAACGTGGAATTTGAAAATCGCCCCTGCATGCATCCTTGGGTGTTGAAGCTTCCCGCATCCCATCCTCATCCCGCCCATCGTTTTCCACTGCTCCCCAATAATCAGCAAGCATTCAACCGAAGGAAGTTATGAGTAGAAAGCAGTGGTGGGACCTTTTCCCCTAAGGGGTAGTTTCTTCTATGCATCCCATTTTGATACTTACAGTCCCACCATTCAAGACAACCGCCATCTCGGTGGGCTGGTAGACGTTGCTACGGAAGGGGGCGCTTGCACGACTTCCCAAGCTGCCGTTGCGAAATCCTGCCGTCCGTAATGCTGTGCAGAATCGAGAAAGAGATGGGGAAAGAAGACAAGGAGAAGGAGAAATGATTTAAGGGGGAAAAATACACAAAAGCAAAAGCAGATGGAAGCTCTCCATAGACAGCTTTAAGGTGAGGTGGAGATCTACAGATAGGATTTTTAACTGCAGGCAGGTGTCCTAGATCCAGTGGTGGGATTCAGCCGGTTCGCACCACTTTGGCAGAACCGGTAGTTAATTTTTTGTTGTCCAGGCCCAGAATGGACTTCCGAAAGCGGCATCCACACACAGAACCGGTTGTTCACATATTTGAATCCCACCACTGCCTAGATCCTGCCTGGAATTAAACCCTACCTGTAGATCACCACCTATAGGAGAAGGAACAGCAGAACCTGGGGGTGGAGTTAAACAAGGGACTAGCCTAGAATCCTTACATAGCCACAAGTGAACTAAGTCCATTTCTCCTTTAATTCCGTTGACTCTTATCTAATTCCAAGCAGATGCTTGGGTTGTTGGGAATATTCCTGTACATAGGCACAAGTAGCAATAAGTCATATTAATTGGACCTTCATGGGTGGGACTGATCTTTCCCACCTGGCACCACAAGCTGAAATATTTCTTCAATAACAGAGAAATCTAAAGCAGAATGGGGGAAAAAATATAAGGGCAATATATCTGCCAATGTGAAGGAATAAATATAAACAATCTATTTTTTTTTAAAAAGTTTAGTTTTTAAACCGTGACTTCACAAGGAATGTAGGGTTTCACAAATCGTTATCAAGATCTTTTCTTGGGTGTAAAAGAATTTGCTTCACGTCATAATTAAATATGTAATACTTCTGTTCAACTGACAACGAGAGACAGCTGAAAATGTATCTAACATTAGAAACCCAAATCGTAAAGAAGTCCAAAAGACGGGCACGCTCGACAATGATATAGGGAATTATGGATGGCAAAAATGTTTGAGATGTTTTTCTCAAAATACCAGAAGCCAAAGATAGGTAAATCTTGGGAAATTATTTCCTCTGTTCCTAGTTAACCTGGGAAATGCACTTCCTAAGTGATGGCCACTAATCTAGGAAACAATAAAAGTTGATTAGGCAGATTAGTGGAGGAGATGACAGGTACGTTCTTGACTTACAAGCTTTTGAAGTTACAACAGTGCTGAAAAAACTGACACTGATTTATTGGTCATGCCTATTCACAAAGCTATCATCACTAACAGCCCTAAATTGATGCTTGATCCAGAGTTAACTGGAATTCAAGAGAGGTTGGACTTTAAACAATTTGTGGGAACATAATGACTCCAGGCTGATTACTCTTTTGACTCCACCCCCCCAGGCTTTGCCTGCCCTTTTGCTACACAACCAAATTATTCCTAGGAGTTAAGCATGCTTAGATTGGGACATCTCACTGGAGCACTGAAGCATCGTCCTTTGTGCTGACTTTAGAGTCAAGCCCACAGTGTCGAACTGATCTTATTCCTAGATTCTTTTATAAATTTTGACTATTCCAGATGCCTGCTTTGGCTGGACGTGTGTGCTCAACGCGGCAGGTGAGATTTAAAAAGGAAAGGAATCTATCAAAATACAGTGCTGTAATTTTCTTCATTAACAAATGAAGGTGCACGGTTTTTAAAAACGCCAAAGATGCACCAAATGATAGGTTTGCTCCACTTTATTGACGCCTTCTACTCTCCTGGGGATAACGTCAGGATACTGTAAATCAATGGCTTTATTGCTTTATTGAACTAAGATCAAACCATCTTGCTACGATGCACACTGTGAGCGTGCAAGGATATTGATTCAAGCAGGCAGAAAAGGAAACGCACATTCAGGTTTTTTTTGTTTTTTTTTTTAGCAATACGTCTTTTAGACTCGGTCTCATAGCTTGTCAATTTCTGCCATCTTTCTCAATAAGGAAAAGGAAGAAAAAAAAAGGGGGGGGGGAAGAGAGAGCAATCAAATGGCTGTTAAATCTTCTCGGTGCCAGTGAACAGCGATTAGCCTGAAAGAAAATCTGCTGGATCTGTTCCCGTCCAGATGTTGCTGAACTATAATTCCTATCATTCCACTAAGAGGAGCAGAATTGAGGGATGCTGGAAACTGTAGTTCAGCGGTGTAGGGAGGGCCTTGTTCTCCTCAACACGGCTATTAAGGATTCCAGCCGAATTTCAGGCCGTTGCACACCAAACAGGAATGACGCATGGCGTCTACCTCAAGGTGAAAACTAGACAGGAAATTGCAATTCATCACAAAGAGTCCTGGGAACAAAATGCAGCTTCCATCTCATAGCTATGCAGATCAGGAGATACTTAGTGGAACTATATTCCAGATCCCAGGAGAGAAAGCATCGTTACGAGGTTACGACACCATCAATGTCTGGGGCAGTGCCAGGCTGGAAGAATCTGGACCACAAGCTAAGTCCCAGTTAAACTGATTTATTGCTCATGCCTATACACAAGAATCTAGTCAACTAATCAAGGTAAAGGTTTCCCTGTCCAGTCCTGTTTGACTCTAGGGTGCTCATCTTTTTTTCTCGGCCGAGGGAGCCAGCATTGTCCATTTTTGGTGGTCATGTAGCCAGCATGGCTAAACATCAAGAGCACACGGAACGCTGTTATCTTCCCACTGAAGTGGTACCTATTTATCTACTTGCATTTGCATGCTTTTGAACTGCTAGGTGGGCAGGAGCTGGGGCAAGGAATGGGATCTCACCCCATTGTGCGGCACTTGTGTCTCGAACCCAGGCTGTCAGCTTTCCAGCTGACAAGCTCAACGTCTTTAACCGTTGAGCCAACACTCTCTCTAGTCAACTATTAGTAAGCACTAACGTGGCGCTAGATAAGAGTCAACAGAATTCAAGAGTTTGGCCTTGGATACTTTGTGGGAATGTAACGATTCTAGGCTGATTCCTCTCTTGACTCCACCCCTCCAGGCTATGCCTGTCTTTCTCCTACAAGCAGCTCCTGTTTTGAGTCATTGCTACTTGAAAGTATTCCGTTCTCAAATTTTTATTCGGTCAAACTCCCCACATGATTACGACTTACGACAAGCATCTTCACTCCCATATTAAACAAATAAACATTCACCTGCATTATGTTCATCCATTGAAAAAGCTTTATTCTCCATGTAGCTCCGAGGAAGCTGGAGGTCATCCTCAAAAGCAGTTTCACGCATCCGTGGTTGTGAAGTGTCAAAGTAGTTGGGCGTGTTCTCTTGCTGAGATGGAAGGATGGCGCAGTGAACCTCTGGGATGGCATAGAAGATCAGGAAGACCCAGCCATTGGCTACCAGAGCCACTGCAAGGGTGGGATCCTGCCACTGGTCTCTTCTCCCCAGTTCCTTGTTACCATACAGGTACATAGTCAGCCACGCCACCCAAATGAGGATCGAGAAGAAGCTGGTGAGGACAAGGCACACCCCGTTCTTCTTCCACTTCTTAAATTTCCCACACAGCGTGAAGAAGGAAAAACAGGCGGTGACCACCATCAAGAACATCACGTAAATGGAGGCCATTGCAAAATCCACGGGCTCGTAATTGCAAGCCGGCTTTCCTTCCCTCACAATCGTCAGTATCAGCCACTCCGTGGCAATGATGACCTGGACCAACGCAACGCAGACAGCGACTCCAGCCAGCTGCCATCCAGATGGGCTTTTGCCGTGGCGGACAAGTCTCCGGAGCCGCCAGGCTTGAGCGAGCAAACAGGAGAAGCAGACGGCGAAGAGGACTCCCCAGGAGAACCTGCGGATGGAGCAGATGGTCTCGTCCTCTTCGATGATGAATGCAAAGGCCAAGCCAAACAGCGCCAAGGTCCCCAAAAAGAAGAGAAAATGGAGGCCCAGCGGGCTCCTTTTCTCTTTGCCTTTGATGAAGGGCAGCCTGGCCAGCAAGATCAACTTGAGGAGCAGCGTGGTCAAGACTCCCGCGCCTGCCACAGCCTCCACCACAATCCCCCAGATAGCATCCAGGTCACACAGGGCAACGTATTGAGGAAGGAGGTCCAGTCCACATCCTCGTGGAGTACTGGAGTTCTCAGAGGAACCATACTCAACCACAAAGAGTAGGAGAAGGCCAACTGTAAGGAAAGTAGACATTTTTCTACCTGGAAACAAAAAGAAAAGAAGACGATAATTTGCCTGCTACTTCCTACTTCTAGGCAATTCCCCTCCCCTCCTCCTCGAGAGAAGATGGTGCTAGAACTGCCAGAAGACCAAGCCAGCATGGCTGCATTGGCTGAAATCTGGAGATTAAACGTAGAATACCTAGAGAAGGAGTGTCCAACCTTGGCAACTTTAAGACTTGTGGACTTCAACTCCCAGAATTCCCCAGCCAGCCATGGGGAATTCTGGGAGTTGAGGTTCCACAAGTCTTAAAGTTGCCCAAGTTTGGACACCTCTGATGTAGAAGATCCCACGTAGAGAACTCTTTGTCCTCCACAACGTCTGGGTGACCTGCTTGCTGTCAATGAACTGGAAATTGAGGTCCTCCCTCCAAACAGCCAGTGATTTGTGCAAATGCTACATTCCTAGTTTTTCCAGAGAGAGTCATTTTGGCCTACCGATTAAAGGTGCTACGTTAGGTATCAGGAGACTGGGAATTCTAGTCCTGCCTTCGGTGCAAAAACCAGGTGGGCTAGTCACTCACTCTCAACCCTAGGAAGAAGATAGCAGCAAGCCACTTCTGAAAAAACATGGCCAAGAAAAATATGTTGATGAAGCTTCTCAATCATCCAGGTAAAGTTGTCTGAAGGTTGAGTCCTGGCAACTGGACTTATTTATGAGCCCAGTTAAAAATAATTAATAAGTAATTATAAATAATTTACTTAACTTGCTACTTACTTGTTTGTTTATTTTGAATAGAATAGAATAGAATAGAATAGAATAGAATAGAATAGAACATAGAAATAGAAATAGGAATAGAATAGAATAGAATAGAATAGAATAGAATAGAATAGAACATAGAAATAGGAATAGGAATAGAAATAGAATAGAAAAAATAGAATAGGATAGGATAGGATAGGAGCTGGAAGGGACCTTGGAGGTCTTCTAGTCCAGCCCCCTGCTCAAGCAGGAGAACCTACACTGTCTCAGACAGGTGAATGTCCAGTCTCTTCTTGAAAATCTCCAGTGATGGAGCACCCACAATTTCTGGAGGAAAGCTATTCCACTGGTTGATTGTCCTCACCGTCAGGAAGTTTATTTATTTCTGAGCGGTGAAATGTCTCAAGCTAACATAAACTAACTCCAGTTGCCACGAGTCAACCTTCAGATTGCCAAGTAGGGACTTGTTCCTGGGGGGTCACCAAGACTTTGGGTTGACTTTCTGGACCTTAACAACAACCACAATCAAGAGTTTTCATCATCCACGCTTCAGCTACTCAAGGAATCGAAGGCTTTGGACCATCACTGCAGCACTACTGCGAAATATTTGGTTTAAAAAAAAATATGCTACTTTGACTTCAAGAACCGAAACCTTTGCTGCAGTTCTGACATTCCCCCCCCCCACACCCTCCTTCCCCAGAGAATATCGCAACGAGTGGGAATTCTGCCCAGTTTCTTCCCAGCTCCTTTGAAAAGAATCAGCTTCGGGGGAGACGGCAGAGCACAAGGAGAGCCGAGCAAAGCTCAGCCTGCATCAGCTCCTGAACTGTAATTGATGAGGACATTGTGCTTTGCCGTGCAAAAAAATAAATAAATAAGTGCCACAACTTGTTTTCTCCCCTCCTGCATCATAATGCTGCGGACTGCACCTTTGCTGCTTGGAGGACCCAATGCAGAGGGACAGAAGTAGGATGAAAAATGCCATGGGGGTATTTTTAGAAGACCTGACTCCAACTGGAATCCAAGTGGGATGTGGCGTTCGGTCATCAATTCCTCCCCACCCCCCACCTCCCAAATATAGCAGGCCCACTGTCACATGTAAGAGAGCTTCCTTTGGCACTCCTGAGAATAACAAAACTACCTCGGGCCCACCCGTCTGTGAATCAAACTGGAACATTCCAAAGATTGTGTAAGAATCAAGAGGCCACCTGCACTTCATGGGTTGCCAAACAGCAGCCTTTTAATTTCCTGCCTGCTCTGGAATCGAAGCAGATTTTAAGGAGTATATATAGAGAGAGCCAGAGTCACAGCCCAGGTTGGACTGCCATAAATTGCTCAGGGTTGGTGTCCATCAGAGAGGGAAGCTACTTCACTTATGGATGGTGGACACTGATTGGGAAAACCATGGCTTGTAGAGTTGGTCTCCATCACAGAGAGAAGGCACCTCACTTATGGATGGTGGACACTGATTGGGAAAACCATGGTTTCTAGAGTTGGTCTCCATCAGAGAGGGAAGCTACTCCACTTATGGATGGTGGACACTGATTGGGAAAACCATGGCTTGTAGAGTTGGTCTCCATCACAGAGAGAAGGCACCTCACTTATGGATGGTGGACACTGATTGGGAAAACCATGGTTTCTAGAGTTGGTCTCCATCAGAGAGGGAAGCTACTCCACTTATGGATGGTGGACACTGGTTGGGAAAACCATGGCTTGTAGAATTGGTCTCCATCAGAGAGGGAAGCTACCCCACTTAGCTGGCTCAGGAATTCTGGGAGTTGAAGTCCACGAGTCATAAAAGAGCCAAGGTTGACTACCCCTGGACTAGATGTTCTCCAGTCTGGATCTCCATCACAGGAAGCAAACTTGCATCAGACTTAGTCCAACGAGACCAGTGGGATTTACCTGGACTGGTTACTGATTCTTTCGAGTGGAGAAACCAGAGTTGGACCCAGGACTTTCAAGGACAAGCAAAACCCATAATTCTGGGCTGCAGTGCCTTTGTGTCAACAGGATCCAAGGATGATATAAACGGGACACCATCAGAGGTTCATCAGAAGCCACAACTGCCCAACCTGGCCTTGGGGAACCAAAGAGCTGTCCTGCACGGAAGCCTGGGACTTATTCTCATAGCCACATAACTGTAAAATTGTTTTGGCACCTTCACAATTGTACCAACAGCCTAAATCTGTATTCTTCATTCTCCTGGTTATTTTTTTTTTTTAAAGAGCAATTGGCATGAAATTAGCATTCAGAGGAGGACCCAAAGAGCATCCAGCATGACTGGATTTTTCTTGAGCCAACAACTGGCCCAGATAGCCAGCGGCTTCGGCCCAATCTTGTGAATTTCACCACACTCTAGGTTAAACAAAGCAGCTTCTGCAGCCGAGGTCCTTTTTAATATTGTTTTTAGGACAGCACTCGCCACCTCCAGCTGTGGCTGCTCTGCCTGCCAAAATCTTGTTTTCTCTCTCCTCTCCTTTCCCCCACCCCACCCACCCACCCACCCAGCGCTCCGTACAAGTGCATACAGCCAAACACATAACTCACTCCACCACCTGACCCAAAGGAGTGGAATTTACTTAATGTATTCTCCCCCAACAGTGCCAATCCAGAAGTCCATCATCCCTTCTCAACTTTCATGCATAAGCGGGTCAATCTATGTTTTTGATAAACAATGCCTGTTTTTTTTGGGGGGGGGGGTTGGCATGTTTACTCCTCTACTCCGAATGAGATTCTTTCCCCAGATCGCTCTCTCTTGATCAGATCCGAAGAACGTTAAGAACAAATAAATCCATAAGTCTTCTCTCCTCCAGGCTATGTCAACAACACCTCCCGCTTGGACAAATCCATAACCTCTTTGGGACCCTTCCTTTATCTGCAATTCAGTTTCTCTTTATCTTAGGGAGGATAAACAGACTTTCTCCAACCAGCAAATGCCACCCTTAATTGGATAAATAGCCTAGATCATTAATATATAAAACATCTTCTTAGGAAATCAACTGTCATTTCAAAATGTAAACTTTAACTTACATATGATTTTTTTCTTTGCGTTTCTCAAACCTTACCCAAATTTACTACATGTTTCCATCGTACACATACTAGAATATGATGCGCTCCTTCTATATCGTTTTATTACCGTAATCTTATGTGTCCTATGCCCTATGCAAAATAAATAAATATCCCAGGCCAGATCTCTAACCTCTCTCGTCCGTCCCCCACAGATTTGCATCATACAACCGTTCTGTTTTCTCCACTTGACCACAACGTATCTTGATATTTACCTTCCCCTTTTCTACATCTGTCCTATATCTGACTACCGTATTTTCCGGCGTATAAGAGGACTTTCTAAACCCTGAAAATCTTCTCAAAAGTCGGGGGTCGTCTTATACGCCCAGTCGTCTTATACGCCGGAAAATACGGGTATTCTATAATGTTAGTACTATTTTTACTATTATTATTATTTAATATATTGTAAAAAGTGATGGCTATTGCTGGTCTATGACAGTATAAAGTTTATTATTATTATTATGGGTATTCTATTTTATTCCTTTACACATGTGGTTTGGCATATTACTCATCAAGTTTTCTCTCCCCCCCCCCTCTCTCTCTTGCTCAAACTCTATATTTTAACTGGAAAAGTTGGGTATATGCCAGAAAATATGTTAAATCCCTCCATCTCCCCCACCTCCACTCTGTGAATTTAACCCTTTCTGTTACCAAGCAAAATTCTCTCGGGAAAGCTGGAGATGGGATTCTTTGCATCTATTTCCTCCTCACACACACCCCGCCCCCCAGTTTGAGTTCTGTCGGTCGGAGAAAAAAAAAAAAGCTGTTTTCTACTATAGGCTGAGCTTGCACGCACTCTCTGATTTTTTTCCAACATGGCCCAAGGAAGCGTAAATCCCGTTTCCCCTCCCACATTTCTACACAACCTTGTTTGTTTACATCAGGGGTGCCCAGCCTTGGCAATTTTAAGACTCCTTGGACTTCGACTCAGCTGGCTGGGGAATTCTGGGAGTTGAAGTCCACGAGTCTTTTCAAAGTTGCCAAGGTTGAACCCCGTTGATTTACCCCTTTGACCAAGGACACGCTGGTGTGGAAGGAATAAACAACACACCAACACCTCAGATCTCAACTCCGGAAAAGAAGTCTCTGGAATTCAAAAGCTTCGCCACTGGATGTGGAACATATGACAGGGGTGGTTCAAGGTTTATCCAAGGCAAGTTTCCAAACACAGCTATGAAAGACTGCAAAACTCTTCAGGGTGCTAT